GGAGGTTGTACAGATGATGACCGTTGCAGCTTTGTTCACGACGAGTAAAACAACCCATTTTCCCGTAATTTTAGATTCAAAAGGTCACCTTGCTCATAGTACTTCATCTATTCTTCTCTTTTCAGTCTGCTACTTATGCTCCTCCCTCTGCCATACCGGCGACTACCGTGGCGTGATTGTGAAATCGGACCGCTCATGTTAAAGCTTCAATCCTTCCAATCTTTCTCGTACTTACGATCTGCTGTCTTCTCCTCTTCTCTCTTCTCTCATATCATACAAGCGACCGCTCAGAGAGCGTGAAATCGGAATACTCTCGCTGATCGACGCTGACTCACAAACCGACGAGTTAATCCGCAGCGAGCTACCGCGGATCACGCCGCGCGTGCCGGCTCGATTCGTCAGCGAGGAGATCAAGCGGCTGCGGTAATCCGTCAGGAAGGTAATATACTAGACGCGATGTATAAGCACGATTTGAGAACGCGATGTTATGAGGCTGCGAGTTAAAAGGGATATTACTTCACGGCTAAGCTGGACGATCGTTCGGCTGTTCCGTGAATGGCGTTGCTGAATCGTGAAGATTTGTTTTCTTAGCTGCAGTAATTGCGAAGTAACTTTCGTTTCGTGTCAGACACTTGTAGTTGTAAAGAACAACGCCAAGGACTGATTAGTACGCTGGAGATTTCGTGAAACATTTATATTCACAAGCAGATGTACAAGCCTAAGCCGATGCCGCAAGTTCTAGAAGTTGTCAACAGCTAAGTTGTTGAAGTATGAACGCCAGCAGCTTGAGAGTTGCTCGCTCTTCAGATGACTGAAACGACTTCGAAGTTCTTCAGATCCAAAGCTGCTCGCATTTCTTCTTGACCCCTCTTGGCCGCTAGAGGCAAATGCCTCTAGCGTTACACCCGCACACCACGTTGAGGTGAGGGCCATTCGTGCGGGATCTGTTTGGGAAGGGGGGAGACAGATAAAATTATGAAAAGGGGGGAGACGGTTAAGTTTACGGGCAGATTAAAAATAATAAACTCATCCAGAAGCTCCTCGGTTGTCAGACGTTGCCAGGTTGACCAGCGGGAGGAGAGTGGCCCGGCGAAATGACGCGCATTGTCGGAAATCTAGGTTCTCTTAATTTGATCGACTCAAATTAACGCGATTTCTCCACGACGGCGTTTCTCTGAATTCGATGGACTTTGTTTTCGCTCGTCCTTTCCGAGCGATTTTCCTCCCTTTCTCTCCGAATTTCGGGCAGCCGATGGGAATTCGCGTGAATCCACGAACAGTCACGATTACATTGTTTTACAGTATATTCAAAATATCGCCGCGCGTAACGATATTTTGAAGGTACCGTAAAACAATGTAATCGTGACTGTTTGCGATTCCACTCAAATTCCCAACGGTTGCCCGAAAGTTGGAAAGAAAGGTCGGGAAAATCGCGCGGAAAGGGCGAGCGCAAACGCCGTCCATCGAATTCAGAGAAAAGCCGACGTGGCGAGGTCACGATAATTTGGGTCGATGAAATTGAGAGAAACAAGACTTTCGCCGGTGCGCGTCATTTCGCCACCGCGCTCGCTCCAGCCTCTCTGCACCACAGACGACAACAAAAAACGTTAGATATTTCGGAAAACAAAAACGAGGAGTAAAAGCGACGACACCATTACCAGGACCGGGCTGCTGATGACGTTGACGTCGGCGTAGACGTTGACGTTGACGCCGGAAGGGGTCAGTGGGAAGCGAGAGGGGGCGGCGGAAGAGGGTATCCAGGCGGGGGCTGCCCTTCACCACCCTCTCCGCCACCCCCTGCCCCCCTCGCTCCCACAACCCCGCCGGTTCTTCCTTGAAAGCTTCTGACACCTGAAGCACAGGGCGAAGCAACGGCATCACGGTACCACGGCGGAGAGAAGCTCAAAACTGGAAAGCGACGACGAGAAATGGAAGCGACGAAAACGAGAGAACCAACGAGAGAAGGGCCGGGAGAACCGCCGGGAGAACCGCCGGGAGAACCACCGGGAGAACCGCCGGGAGAACCGCCGGAAGAAGCGCCGGGAGAAGCGCCATACGCCGTGCGCCGTGCGCCAGAAGAATCGCCACGCGACGCGCAATAAATCACCCGCGTATGCGGACGCGCCATTAGCGCGCCCCGTGTGACGTGCCGTCGTAGCCGTGCATCGCCTTCCGCCGTTCTGCAGGAAGCGAGAAGCGCCGTTAAAATAAATTCGTAAAAAAAACTACGAGTAGAATGAAAACGAGGAAACAAGCAACCAAAGCGAGTGAATAAACACGTTACCTCAACCCGGGCGAGGCGCTGCTGTGAGGCATCAGCCGTCGGCGAATCCGGTGAAGGGGCATCCGCTTGCGACGTGAGACTCGCCGTCGCCGTCCGCCTCTTGCGACGTGCGAAGGCATGTTGCCATTGTCGCCATGCTTCCGTCCCCCGGCTCCGCCGTGCGCCATGCGCCTGCAAACTTTCAGTTAAAAAAAAAAAAAAAACCGTCAAGAGCCGCCAAGAGGAAGGAACAACAGAACGGAATTAAACGAAACCGTCAAGAAAGACTGAACTTTCGAGTTACACGCTACCTCAGCCCACGTGAAGCAACGCCGCTGGTGAGCCATCAGCCGTCGTCGAATGAAAGGTCCATAAGCCATCGTCGTCCTTTTGCGACGCGAGCCATGTAGTCGCCGTCCGCTTGCGACGTGAAAAACGCCATCGTTTGTCGTCAACGTCCTCGCCGTCGGTATAAGCGTCTGCGCGGCCGGAGAAACGGTTGGCGAGGTCTGCAGGAAGACAAGGCCACACGTTAGTACTAGAAATGGGAAAAGAAAGAGAAAAAGGATATAAAACAGGATCTATTGGCGAAATGCTCTTGGAGTTTACTAACATCGGAGCTTTCATGTCCACCGGCGAGTGCGACTGCGAGGCGTCCGCTCACAGGCGAAGCTCCGCAAACGGCGGACTTGGCAGCGAAAGCTCCGCGATCACGACGGGGAAAGCTCCAGTCGGCGGCGACGCGATTACGACAGTCGGCGGCTAAAGTTCCGCGATTACGATAGTCGGCGGCTAAGGTAACGCGATTACGACGAGAAAAGCTCCAGCTTCAAGGAATCTTGACTTGAATGCTCCAGTCGGCGGCGAAATTGTCAGTTGTCTGCAGAAAGACGAGGATATAGTTGCAAGCGGCAAAATTAAGTATAAACCGAACTTGCAGAAAGAGTTGGAGATTCGTAGAGTTGGAAGTTACGGCAAAAAATCGTCAAGAATGAATCTAGAAAATAATTGCTCACCTCCACACGAGCAACAAAGGAGGTCGCGCCAGAAGCCACTCGAGCCGTCGGAGCGCAATCGGAGCGCCATCGGAGCCAGGAAGCTTCCAGGGCTTGAGCTTCGGAACGGCGAGAACTCCAGTCGGTAGCGAAAGCTCCGCTCTTGAGACGGCGTAGAGTCGGCGGCAAGATGGTTGCCTGCAGGAAACCAGAAAATGAGTTCAGTCAGATGGCAAACTTTGCAAAATGAAGGATCTACAGAAGTAAGTTGAGACTTTGAAAACGGCAAATAACTTCAAGTTTCAACCAGCAAACAAGGTTCAAGGAAGAGGCTGAAGAATGTTGCTTACCTCCACTCGATCGACCGGAGATGCTGCGGCGCCATAGGAGCGCCATCGCCGTCGAAGCTCCTCTGGAGCGCCAGCGCAAGGGAGACCTCGCCATCAGAGCGTTATCGGAGCAAGGAGAACACCTTCGGAGACTTTGAAGGAGGGAACTTCGGCGTGAAGACTTTGCCGGCCATTGAAGCTCGTGCAGTGGCGAGTTTAGAAGGGAGACCTCGCAGCGACGATTTCGCCGTGAAGGATCTTGGCGTGAAGATCACGTAGAGAACATCGCGCCGCGAAGAGATTGTAGCGGAGACCTCGCCGCGAGAAATCATGGCGTGATGGTCTCTTAGTCATAATCTCGCCACGCTGAAGTTGCGGAGGAGATTTTTTAGATGTCGCGGTTAAGGGATTGCCGCGGAATTTCGGCGTAGTACACGGTTCGGCACTAAGGCAGCAGCAGCTCGCTCAGACACTCTAATCTACCCAACCCACCCCACACCCATCTCATCTAATCTACACGACCTCACGCTGCCGCATGCCCTCGTGCTTCCCCATGTACTAGCCGGGAGGCTTCAGGTAAGTTAAGCTGATTTGCTCCGTGGAGCTTGTATCCTGAAGTCCGAATCGAGCTCATTGGGTTGGAGCTTTTCGAAAGTCCTTCATTGAATTCGGGAAGGAATTATCGGAAAAGAAGGTTGAGAATGAGACGTGGTAAGTTTTGATGAAAGGGATGGGATGATCGATGGAGTTGCAAGCAAAAGCAGGCTGCTGCTGGATGAAAGAACGATTGTTGAGTTTGGTATGTGGCGGCCGCGCGGTTCGTCTTAGCGCGGGGACCACCCAAATGTGATGGCTGAGTGCAGTCGGTGCAACATGGCGCGGCTCCTTTTAGTGCGGTAATGAATGACTGTCTGCTGGGCTGCGCGGTGCGGGGAGAGAGGCAATGTGAATGGATGGACGGATGGTGGTGGAGTAGCTGCAGCAACGGCGAAGATTTTGCCGCGGCATGTGATGGGGCTGTGCTTGTGACGGCCTGCGCGCGGTGGGGCAAGAAATTCCCCGCCCTGGGAATGTCAGAAGATTCTTTCGAGGGGAGATTCTGAGCGGCTCGTCGAGAATGCTTGGGGTGACATTTCGAGGTGGCCCAAATATGAGAGCTGACGTCATCCAAGTTCCAAGCCAAGTTGTACACTGTTTTGTTTTCACATGCTGCTACGTTTTGTTTTGTTTGCTTGCACAGCTTTGGTTTGCCTTGTTTTGCCGCAAACGAATCTGCTGAAGGCGCGTATCCCGTGAGAGAGGTTTGTTGAGCAATGTGGGTATGGATCAAGGCTCGGACTAGGGCAGGCTAGAGCTTTCTAGGAGGCGGTGATCGCGGCACTTCTCCAAGTTTTCGCGAGAGTTTTGCGTGCGATGCGGGACGGCGGTGGCATGGCTAGGGAGTTCGTGCGTGCGTTTTTGTCTGAGCTAATTTTGCCCCCTACCGAACCTGGCTTGGGCAGTTGAAAAGATAAGGGTGATCGAGGGGAGATCTATTCAAGCCAATAGGAATGAAGTGCGTTTCTGTCACCCTCGTACAACCACCACCGCACTGTATCAGCACCCTCAACAACAACTTCTTTTCACCCGCCATACCTAATTTCATTTCTCGATGTTGTCTAGCATTAGTAGCGAGGGTGTGACTTGCATCACCTTACCTTAGTCCCGTCAGATCGAGGCTACGTAAATTAGTTCCCCCATCACCTTAGTTTTGTTACTTTCGCTTACTTATGTTACGTTTGGTAAGATCAGAGCGCGATAGTTAGTTTAACGTGTAGCATCAGCATCGTGTTCCTGTATCTACGAGTTACGTCTAACACATTATCTAGTTTCAGACGCGCTGCACGTAGAATGCCGTAACTAGATTTAGTATCTGATATCGCGAATGTACTGTTAGTTTCGCGCCGTAGATGTTCGTACGTGGACGAACTAATAACCTCGATTTGCGTACGCGTTAGTAACGTTTATTGATGGAAGCGTGTCATGCGGACGCACGAGCAGCGACGACCTTGAGAGCGCGAACAACTAACTAAGGTAAGGCGGAGGCTTCGCGAAGGTAAGGCGACGGAAGCGTCGGGGCGTCGGTGGCGACAGTAGCGCCAGTGGCGTCGGTGGCTTTGGTGGCGCGGGCAGCGCCAGTGGCGGCTGTGACGAAGAAGACAGCAGGCCTGAGGTAGCACAGGCGCCAGGTGTGGCAGGCCCCTCATTCCCCCCTGACCCCTTGATGTCCCAGAAACGTTATGCATCCCTCATCGCCCCAGCTCTCTTCTCATCACCCCCGCGCACACATTTTTTCCCACCCTTCATCTCCCCTCCGCTCGCCCCGCGTTCCCCATCTCTCCCCCTCCCCGCCTCGTCCCCCATCCCCCACTCACCGCTCATTCCCCTACCACCTCCCAGTTCACCTCTTTTCCCTACGCTGCAATATCAGCATTCACCTCCTTCCCCCCCGCCGCAATATCAGCCACAGCACAGCATCACCCACAATCATTCACCCCTCATCTCCCTCCCCTACCCTACCACCGCCGCTGGATGTTCCCGCATCTCCCTCACCCTACACGCCCCTCCCACAAATTAATCGCCCGACATCCCACCCCTCCCTCCCCTCACCCCTTCACTCACCCCTTGTCTGACCCCACACAATCACTCCTTATTCACCTTCCCCATCCATCCCTCTTTCCAGAACCAACCCCCCTCCCCTTCGCCCCTACCCTTCCCCCCTCCCATCCCCCCTCCTCCTCCCTATCATCGCTCATTCCCCATCTGCTCACCCCTCATCTCCTGCCATCTCTCTGCACGCCCCTCCACGCCCCTCCACGCCCCTCCACGCCCCTCCACGCCCCTCCATGCCAATCCGCGGCCCCCCACACCCCTCCAAGTCCATCCGCTCACCCCTCGTCTCCTCACAGCTTTCCCGCCATCTCCCTCCACGCTCATCCCCTGTTCACCCCTCATCGTCTTCCCCCATCTTCTGCCTGCCTTTACTACGCACCCACTGCATTTGCTCCTCTCCTCTGGTACTTGCCTTTGCTATTCGCGTTATGGTAATTACTTGTCACTGCTTTCCTCTGCTCTTGTCTGCGAAGTTCTCACTTTCTTTGGGAGTGCTTGCTTTAACAACATGTCGTTTGACCCATTGGCCGGTGTCTGTTTGAGTGCATGCTTTTACAGCATGTCAGTTGACTCACCGGCTGCTGTCTGTGTGGGTGCTTGCTTTTACAGAGTGCGTGCTTTTACAGCATGTCATTCCACTCATCAGCTTCTCTTAGTGTGACTTCTTGCTGGTGCAGCGTGTTGTTTCTCTCATCAGCTGCTTTCTTTGTGAGTGCGTGCTTTCACAGCATGTCATTCCACTCATCAGCTGCGGTCTGTGTGACTGCTTGTTTTTACAGGATGTCAATGGACTCATGTGATCTGACGTGTTGGCAACTTCCCCACGCGAGTCTTTGCTAGGTACCATAGTCTTTTTTAACTGGGCCATTTTTTCGTAATCCTTCATAGATAGAATTGGAAAAGTTGGTAAAATTGGAAATGCTGATTTATGCACTGTTATTTGCCAGAACGAGCAGAAATATATATACCCCTTCACAAATTTTCATGCCTTGGGTGACATTTTTGTCACAGCATAGTAACTATATGGGTGTACACCTCCAGAACAGTAGAGGTGTTTGGCTTGTAAAGGCGAAATCCTGATCCCGCCAGAGCCTTCCTTCCCAAAAAGCCACATTCGTAATCCGATTCCCGCCTCATTCTCCATTCCATGGCTGCTCATGGTCAGATTGAGAGGGTGAGCAGGAATGTGTTTTTCTCCTTCGCCGTAGGGTCCGGTACAGGAATGAACTATGCAGCCGTTCAGATCTGCGTCTCCCGCGGCGCGACATAGCGCTTCTCGTAGTTCGCGGTTGTTAAAACGGAGAGGCTGAATTCCCGCTACCATGCTCCAATGGTAGTTCTTATCGCTGCTCGGAACGTCCTTATTTCGTGATAGTGACGCGAGATCAGCATCTAGTCCTGTCGGCGACGTTTATTCCTTCCTTCATTACTCGTTAGTTGTTGGCGACCACAAAATTGTTCGTGTTCTATTTTTTTATCCAAATAGAAAATGGCATCAGGCGGTTCGCACCGCGATCCGCTTCCGTTCTTCGGTCCATCCACAACCATCCCCGAGCTCACTCGTCTCTCGCGCCTCTCCAGCCAATCGTCTTCCGCCAGCTGTCACTGGAAGCTCTTCGACCGTCAGACTCGCTCTGAGTTGCTGTACCCACCGGGAGACGATCGCGGACGGGTAGCCGTCTGGTCGCTTAAGATCTCGCCGTCAGGCAAACGGCTAGCCGTCATATGGGGTTCGACAGTCACTATTCTGTCGCATTATGATGGGTATTCGGCTCCCGTAGGCAGCTTCAGCATTCCGTCAGGTACTATTCCGTTAGGTCTGTCTATGCGTTACCATTCCGTCAGGTCTGTCAAAGTCAAAGTTACTGTTCCGTCAGCATTCCTTGTGTTTAATCAGCCCGATCAAGGTTACTGATGCGTGACGTCTTTTAATGCGTGTGTTTGATCCCTGAATCAGTTTGAAATGGCTTGAACGTCTGGGATACGCGTTATTGCGTAGCAGGTTGTGCTTATGGTGACTACGTCTGTACTACCTCCAAGGTTTTTTTTTACAGCAGTTGTATATTATAGTATCCCCGTTTCGTTTGTTCTCATAAGAATGTCCTTTGTTTTACATGCCGTTACGACCTGCAGGATCAGGCAGGGATAGGGTTACCACACTGTTCAGTGTAACCGCGGAGTGGAGCGACGACGAGAGGGTCCTCGCTGTGATTGGTCCACGCGCTCTCTGGTTGCTGGACGCACAGGGGTTGCTGCTCGGCGAATTGCACGCTGCCACGTGGCAGCCTCGGGGATCCACCGTTGTCGGCTGTATCCTACGATCTGCACATGACACGGAGCCTGCCAGTGCTGTGAAATCGACTAGGTAAGCTTGCCAGTGCAGTTAAATCTCGAAGGTGACGGTTCCCTATTCTTTGCTTGGGGGAGCCTCAACCTCAAATGGCTGTATCCTATGATCGGCACTCGACCCAATCCTTTTCATCCCTTTTCTCGAAGGAGCTGCCAGTGTGCAGTGAAATCCTTAGATAAGGGCTCGCTTTTGAGAATTCTCAAACGTGCAGTGAAATTCTTAGATAAGGGCTCGCTTTTGAGAATTCTCAAACGTGCAGTGAAATTCTTAGGTAAGGAGGAGTCCGTTGTCTTACACATGCTCCTTCCCCTACCCTTCCCCCCGGTTTTACCCTCAAATGCTCTCGGGATTCAATTTGTTACCCATTCTTCTAAATTCTATGTTGTCTCATTTTATGGTTCTCTTCCTCCTCCCACGCCCCGCTCCCACAGTGCCTATGACTTTATTTTGGTCTTGTCCTACCCGCCTGTCACCCTGCCACTCTCTTTCGGCCCAACCACGCTTCCTCTAACCACAGTTCCTATGACATTATCCTGGTCCTGTCGCATCCTCGCCCACGCCCTCCCACTCTAAGTCACACCTTCCTCTCACCTGGTCTCCCCCCTTTCTCTCCCGACCCAACCACGACTCGTCCCTCCCAACCACAGTGCCTATGACATCATTTTGGTCCTGTCCCACCCGCGCCCACGCCTCTGGCGACCCACGGTCTCCCTCCCACTCGAAGTCACTCTGTTTTTCTCTTTCCTCCCAACCACACCCCCTCCCAACCACAGTGCTTATGACATCATCCTGGTCCTCTCCCACCCTCGCCCACGCCTCTGGCGAGCCACGGTCTCTCTCCCACTGCCTCCCTGCGACGACCACCGGGCGGCTTCAGGATTTTCTTCAGGGGCTTCAGGTGTTTCTTCAGGTGTTGCTTCAGGGGCGTCAGGTGCTGCGTCAGGAGCCTGGGGACCGCGTTCCGGGAGGGTGAAGGCGAGGGGGAGGGCGTATCTGCTGGAGGGGAGGCACCAGGGGAGCGTGGTTCGCTCTGATTTCCACCCTGTGCTGAGTCTGCTCGCTGTGGCCGGCATATGCCCCTCAGGTAAGACCCTCCTAGATAAAGCCTTTCCTTTTCTTCCTCCACACCCCCCTCTCGAGACTTCCACCCGGTGCTGAGTCTGCTCGCTGTGGCTGGCGTATGCCCATCAGGTGAGATTCTTCTAAATATAGCCTTTAATCATTTTTCCTCCACACCCCCCTCTCGAGACTTCCACCTGGTGCTGAGTCTCCTTGCTGTGGTCGGCGCATGCCGCTCGGGTGAGTGGAGACCCGCTCAGGTGAAGCCTGTCTGGATAAAGCCTCTTCTTCTCTCCTATATGCTCTCCTCTAAAGACTTCCGCCCCGGCGCGCATTTTGAGTCGACTCAAAAATCGCTCAGGTGAAGCCTGTCTGGATAAAGCCTCTTCTTCTCTCCTTCATGCTCCCCTCTAGAGACTTCCACCCTGGTGCGCTGCCTGCGTGCCGTGCCGGCATTTGCCCTCATGTCAGTACAAACCCGTCCAGGTGATACCTCCCCCCCCACGTCCCTTCCCGCGTTTGTTTCCTCTGCAGTTGGTAAACTATCCCCCACGCGCCCCCCCACGTCCCTCTTTCCTGTCCATATGGCACACTCCCGATCCGCCCCACCCCCTGCTCCCGCCCTCCTTCCTCTGCCTCCTCCGCTTCTTCGATTCTCATTTTCCCCGTCTCGTTCCGTTTCCTCCCTTGCCCGCCCCTGCTATCCCTTCTCCGATGTGCTCTGCTCGTCTCTGCTTCTCCCTTTCCCTTTTCTCCCATGCAGTTGGCAAACCGTCTCCCACGCGGCCCCCCACGTCCCTACTCCTGTCCATATGGCACATCCCCGATCCGCACCACTCCTTGCTCCCGCCCTCCTTCCTCTGCCTCCTCCGCTTCTTCGATTCTCATTTTCCCCGTCTCGTTCCGTTTCCTCCCTTGCCCGCCCCTGCTATCCCTTCTCCGATGCGCTCTGCTCGTCTCTGCTTCTCCCTTCCCTTTTTTTCCCATGCAGTTGGCAAACCGTCTCCCACGCGGCCCCCCACGTCCCTACTCCTGTCCATATGGCACATCCCCGACCCGCACCACCCCCTCCTCCCGCCCTCCTTCCTCTGCCTCCTCCGCTTCGCTCCTCCTCCCCTCCACCCTCCTCAATCCAAACCTAGTCGCTCCAGAACCCCAGGGTTTTGGGGCGATGGTTTAGAGGGGGAAGAGGAGGAGGATGAGGAGGAGGAAGGGGAGGAGGCGGTAGCAGAGGTGAGATTCTCCCCTGATGGGGGGTCGTTAGCGGTGGTACACCACCGGGGGGTTTTGTCTCTTATGCGGATGTCGGCTAAGGATTCTGAGCTCATGCTGCTGCCTAGGAGCGCGGGGAGAACTGTGGGTGTTCCCTCTGGGGCTGCGGTGGAGGAGGAAGGGAGTGTGGTGGAGAACGGTGTAGGGAAACGGGAAAAGGAAGAGAAGGACGGAGAGGAGGAGGTGGGAGAGAAGGGAGAGGAGGGGACACAGCAGCGGAAAGCAGTGCGGTTCCGAACGGTGCAAGGCGGTGTTGTGGATTGTGTCACCAGTGTGACTTGGCTCAGCACAGATACCATAGCAGTATCCCATCGCTCAGGGAGAGTAGCCATAGCCACTGTGCAGGATCTAAGCAATCTCACCGGTCCGTTCCCTCTAGTCTTTGGGCCCCGGGCAGTCCTCTGCTCGTCCAGTCTCCTCACGCCACGTGGCAGCAGCAGGTCTGGAGTGTACCCACGAGGGGTGATTGTTCTAGAGCCTGTCGCGAGACAGGTGTCGGTCCCTGATTGGGCGAGACAGGTTGCACTTTCTCCTGTTAGAGGAGGTGTGAGGGACGGTGGCGGTGGTGGGGAGGAGGGGGTGTTGGAGAGCGGATGGCGGGTTTTGTCTCTTGTGGAGCAGCCGGCGGCGGTTATGGTGCGGGTGTTAACTGAGGAAGGTAGACTTGGGGATGCATTGGGGATGGCTCGGGCAGCAGGTTTGCATTCAGATGTGGTGTTTAAGGCTGCTTGGACGAGCATGGGTGTGGGGATTGCAGTAGCAGCAGCCGCAGCAGCAGGAGGAGGAGGAGTAAGAGGAGGAGGAGGAGGAGGAGGAGGAGCAGGAGTGGGTGAGAGTGGGAGGTTGCTGGGAGGAGGCAGGGGGCTTGCTGGTAGGGAGGAGGAAGGTGGGAAGGAGGAGAGGAATGACGACGAGGAGGGGAGTGAGGAGGAGAGGGAGGAGGAGGAAGAGGAGGAGGTGTCAGCAATCACGGATTACCTGTCTCGGGTATCTGACACCTCTTGGGTGGTGAGGGAGTGTGTGGGTGTGGTATGCCGCACTGCCAAGGGTATGGATTTGCTGTTAATTTTGGGAATTAGAGCGACTAGCAGCCTCAAGGAGGAAACCCTAAAAGCAGCAGCTGCTGATGTGAAGCTATCAGGTGTAAAGCTGGCACTGGTACGATCCAGGTTGCAGCTTTTGTCCTTTCGTGACCGCCTACAGAGCTACCTAGCCCTCAACATGGGCCGGTACGATCCGCAACAGTACGGCGTCTTTCGTCTTCTTCCCCTCCACTCTGCCGCCCAGCGTTTCGCCTCCGCCGGCCGGATCTCAGCCGTCCATATCCTGCTGCAGAGGCATCCCTTCTCACTCTCCCCTCACCTCCTCTCTCTCCTCTCCTCTCTCCCAGAAACCCTTCCTCCTCACTCTTATCAAGCTATTCTCCCAGGGGCCTCCCCCCCTCCTGTGTCCCGGACCAGAGGGGCAGATTGGGTGGAAGGGCGGGCAGTGCTGCAATTGATTGGAGCTGGGTCGGCTGTAGCAGATACAGATTCAGCTGCTGCTGTAGCTGTTGCTGCTGCTGGTAGCGGTGCTGGTGGTGCTGCTGTTGTAGCTTCTGCAACAGAAGAAGTGGTGTTTCTGTCTCAGGGTTTAAAGTACCCCTCCAAGCCTGTTGTCGAGGCTTGGTATCTCTCCCGAGCCAGGGAGATTGAGGAACGGACGGGCCTGCTGCAGCACTCGCTCGCGCTGCTGGATCTAGGCTTGGCAGCAGGCTTGGCGGAGGTTCGGAGTGCTATGGAGGATTACGCTGAGCTGAACAGAGTGGTATATGGGGCATGCGGGGCTGATTATAAGGAGGACGAGGGGGCTGATGAGGGCGGGGAGGGAGGGGATGACAGGCAAGTGCAGGAGGAAATGGAGGAAGTAAAAGAGGAAGAGAGTGGGGAGGGGGATGAGCAGAGGAGGGAGGGAGAGGGTCAGGGTCAGCAGCAGCAGCAGCAGCAACAGCTGCAGCAGCAGCGATCTGCCATTGTTGCCCCTCCAGTTGCCCTAAAACGCGCCGAGCTCACTCTCTCCATCTGGCTGCAGCTCCCCATAATCGAACGGTTCAGATTCGTTCTCGGGCGGCCACGCCCCGCATCCATCGTCTCACGTCTGCACGAGCGTGCTCTGCCAATCCTGTTCCGCCACCTGGCGTCGCCGCAACAGGTCTGGAGCCTCTTGGAAAAATGGCTAAGGGAAGAAATCGCCCCTGTGAAAGGCAGAATGGCTGTTTTCTCCTCTGTTGTGGCTGAAATGGCTAAGGGAAAACACGGCTGCCTCTCTCTCGCAACCTCCAGCCCCTCCTCTCTCTCCGCTCCTTCCATTCCCTCCACCACCCCTCTTCCCTCTTCCGCCTCCTCCTCTCAACCCCTGCCCGCATCTTCCGCTCCCCCATTCTCTCTCTCTGATCTAGCCTCTCTTTCCCTGCACTGCCTCCCTCTCTCTGCCTCTACTAATGAATGGAGCTCTATGGCTTTCCTGCTCCGATCTATTCTAGACTCGCACAAAACTGCTGCTCTAGCAGATCAGCACAGGGTTAAGTCTTCTGCTCCTGCTGCTGCTGCTGGTGCGGGTGGGGGAAGGGGCAGGCGTGGCGGAGCTTCGGCCCGAGCCTCCGGCGCAGGCCTGGAGCCGCTAGGTTCGGAGCAGCAGGAGGCAGTTGCGAGTGCGCTGCTATTGGTGGAAGCAGGGGCTGTGCTTGCCACGTATGAGCTCCCCACACCCTACACCGCCCTCGTCCAATCCCGCAGCGACACGTCAGCAGCCCTCCACCTCCTCCGCAGCCTCCTCTCCACCTTCTCCCGCCGCCAGCCGTCCCCGGAGGACCCTGATTGGCTGGATCTGTTCCGCCACGTCAGCACTCTGAAGCACTCCGCGTTCCTCCCCCTTCCCCCAGACTCCCTCCCTTCGGAAATGGCTAGAGTGCTACTAAGGGAAGCGAGATTCTCTCTAGCCAGGCAGTTTTTGAGAAGCGGGGGAAGTGGGGGGAGTGGGGGGAGTGGGGGGGGTGGGGGGAGTGGGAGAGGAAGAGGGGGAGGGGAGGATGTGTGGTTGGAGGGAGATGCGGTGTTGAGTGAGGATCGGGTAGAGGCGCTGGTGATCGGTGCTGCCAGGAATTTCTTCTACTCGTCCCCGACACTCGACTCCCCAGATGTAAGTGCTTGTTGATTTGCTGAGGATTCGCCCAACCCTGCACTTTCTTTGTATGATGCGCCACCACTGAGGACGTGTGGTTGGAGGGAGATGCGGCGCTGAGTGAGGATCGGGTAGCAGCGCTGGTGATTGGTGCAGCCAGGAACTTCTTCTATTCGTCTCCTACACTGGACTCCCCTGATGTAAGCGCTTGTCATTTTGCTCTCTTCTCCCTTTGATTTGTCACCATTCTGAGTGTGTGTGGTTGGAGGGAGATGCGGTGTTGAGCGAGGATCGGGGAGGCGCTGGTGATTGGTGCAGCCAGGAATTTCTTCTACTCGTCTCCGACACTGGACTCCCCAGATAAGCATTTGTCGTCTCGCGCTCTTGCTTCCTTAGATTCGTCACAGATCCACAGCGCATTCGCCTGTCTCGACATCTTCCCCCACCACAACAACCCAGCAGCAGCAGCAGCAGCAGCAGCGGAGAGGCTACTCAAGCCGATCACTAACCCAATCCGTTCTGACCTATTCCCCCCCCTTGCCCCCACCGCAGATCCACAGCGCATTCGCCTGTCTGGACATTCTCCCGCGCAACCCAGCAGCAGCAGCGGAGCGGCAGCTCTTCTCAGCCCTTGTCATCGACCTCCCAGCCTGCGGTCTCCACCTGCTGCCCCTGCATCTGCGCCAAACTCGCGATCGCCTCGACATAATCCACCAAGTGCTCAACCTCTGCCCCTCTGCCCCTCTCCTGCTGGTGTTTCCCTCTATTCCGTCCCCTCTCCCCATCCCTTCCCTTCCCACAACCGCAGATCCACAGCGCCTTCGCCTGTCTGGACATTCTCCCGCGCAACCCAGCAGCAGCAGCGGAGAGGCAGCTCTTCTCAGCCCTTGTCATCGACCTCCCAGCCTGTGGCCTCCATCTGCTGCCCCTGCACCTGCGCCAAACCCGCGATCGCCTCGACATCATTCACCAAGTCCTCAACCTCTGCCCGTTCCCTCCTGTCTCCCCCCTCACCACCACCACCACCTCTGCTTACTCCTCCCATTCCTCCTCTCACTCCTCTTACCCGTCCTCCCACCCCTCCTCTTACCCTTCCTCTCACGCGTCCCCTTACTCGGCCTCCTCGGCCTCCTCTCCCTTCGCTCCGGTCTTTTCCGTCGATCTCGCCAGCACAGGGGCTCCTGAGGTGCTAACCTTAGCCTGGAAATTAGGGCTGACGTCAGCAGCGGATGAAGGGAGGGTGCTAGAGGCGGTGGCTAGAGCAGCAGCAGCTCGGGCGGATATTAGAACAGCTAGAAAGGTTGTTCAGGAGCTTATGAGTAGAAGCTATGGAGGGATATGGGACTTGTGTGCTGCTTTGGCAAGGGGACCGGCTAGTAAGGGGGGAAGGGGAGGGCTGGGAGGAGGCAGGGGCAGGGGGATGGGAGGGTTGAGGAGGCAGGGAGGGAGGTTAGGGAGTGGGATGCAGGGGCAGCTGCAGAAGGGGAAATTGTCAAGATCGGCTGTGGAGTTGGGTGTGGGTGAGGGGAGGAGGGGTGGTGTGAAGGGGAGGGGTGGAGAGGGGTTGGAGAGGGTTGATGGGAGTGAGGATGGGGTGTTGAGCGGTGATGGTGGGAGTGTGAGCGATAGCAGCAGCAGCAGCAGCACGAGTTTGAGCGCTATGATTGGACGAACAGTTGCTTCTGCAACTGATCTGTCTGCTGATGTCAGCATGGATGAATCCGCCAGCAGTGCAGCGAGCACTGCTGCTGACGTGGACGCTGACGTGGATGCTGACGTGGACGACGGATCCGATGACATCAGCATGCCGATCCGGCGGGAGTTTCTAGGGTTTGCTCTGGCTCATTGCGACGAAGCTTCCCTCCCGGACCTGCTAGCCTCGTGGCAAGGCTTGGATGCCACAGAACGGTGCGTGGCGCTAGGTGCGGCAACAGGCTTGGTAGTCCCAGGCCTGCGAGAGCAGGAGGCGCTTCTCCCGGACCTAGCTGCCGGCCGAGCCTCGGGCAAGTGGGAAGGCACGGAAGTGCTGGTAATTCCTGAAGCTGCTACAGCCAGTGCTACAGCCGGCAGCAGCAGCAGAAGTAGCAAAATCCGGGGGAAGGGAGGGAGCTCAGGCCTTACCACTAGCACTAGCAGGAAACTGGTTAGTTTGGGTGGGGGCCGGGGGGCAATCGGGAGGGATGTGGGGAGGAGGGCGTTGGCGCTGGTATCGAGTGACGGGGAGGCGTGGGGGGATAAGCAGTGGGAGGAGGTGCCTCGGCTGCTGCTGCCGTTTGCCTGCCTCCATCTGCCGTGGATGCTCCAGGTGAAAACTCGCCGTGCTGCTGCTGCTGCTGCCGCCGCCGCCGCCGCTGCTTCTAGAACTGGAGGGACAACAGCAGCAGCAGCAGCAGCAGCAGCAGCAGGCGGAGGGGGGGTGGCAGAAGTAGCAGCAGCAGCGGCAGCAGCAGATCCGATAGTCGAGCAGATAGTGGTGCTGATTCTCCACGTGCTCGCGTCCTGCCAGGTGTCGCCCTCTGATAAGCTCCTGACTGAAGCTGCCCGGAGTGCCCTCACCGCTGGGGACATAGTCTCTGCTGCTGCAGCTGCGGCCGGTTTATGGGGGAGGACTGGAGCAGGAGTAAGGGGAGTGAGTGGGGTAGGAAGCGGAGGGACAGGAGGATCAGGTGGCTTATCAGGTGGTGGGTCAGGTGGTGCGTCAGGTGCCGGGTCAGGTGGTGGGTCAGGTGGCGGGTCAGGTGGAGAATTAGGTGGAGTGGGAAATGCTAGTGGTTCTGCAGTAGGGGAAGCAAGGGAAGTGAGCCCAACAGCTGCTGTTGCAGCTGCTGAGGTGGCAGCGTGCGATTCGCTGGCGATGGCGTTTCTGCTGCAGGCCGGGGACTCAGTGCGGGCTGCGGGGGTTATCGATGCTGAGATGGCGAAGCGGGACGGGGCGGACGCAAAGAGGCGGTTTGTGCTGCTGCTGCTGCAATTCTCGTCTCTTCACGCAACCCTCTTCCTGCTAGCTTCTCAGGTGAGCATATGCTGTCTCGTTGCTGCTGCTGCTGCTGTTGCAGTTGCTGCTGCTGCTGCTGCTGCTGCTGCTGCTGCTGCTGCTGCTGCTGCTGCTGCTGCTGCTGCTGCTGCTGCTGCTGCTGCTGCTGCTGCTGCTGCTGCTGCTGCTGCTGCTGCTGCTGCTGCTGCTTAGCAGTTAAACTCATCTGTCATCCGTTGGTCCTGCTATCTCTCCCCTTGGCCCTCTATTCCACCTGGCAGGCCAACGAGGCAGTGATTGTGGGGCCGCTGCTGCTGCTGCCGCCAGTGCTGATTGTGGGGTCGCTGCTGCTGCTGCCGCCAGTGCTGCTTACTCAAGCACATCTGTCCTCCCTTGGTCACACATTCTCTCCCTCCGCCTTTCTTCTGTCTCCCTTTGGCGTTCTTCTTATTGATTTTAACAGGCAAACGAGGCAGCGTTTGTGGGGTCGCTGCTGCTGCTGCCGCCAGTGCTGCTCGCACGCGTGGCAGGGGAAGCTTCCAGGAAGGAGGAGCAGCTGGGGGAGACAGGAGCTCTGGGGTCCCGACCAGCAGTCAAGAGTTCAGGTGAGTGTGCTCTTCTGCTGCTGCTGCTGCTGCTGCTTCTATCGTTGCTGCTCCTATCACTGCTGCTTCGATCAATGCTTTCGCCTGCTGCATGCCTCTGTTACTGCTGCATGCCTCTGTTACTGCTGCATGCCTCTGTTACTGCTGCATGCCTCTGTTACTGCTGCATGCCTCTGTTACTGCTGCATGCCTCTGTTACTGCTGCATGCCTCTGTTACTGCTGCATGCCTCTGTTACTGCTGCATGCCTCTGTTACTGCTGCATGCCTATGTTACTGCTGCATGCCTCTGTTACTGCTGCATGCCTCTGTTACTGCTGCATGCCTCTGTTACTGCTGCATGCCTCTGTTACTGCTGCATGCCTCTGTTACTGCTGCATGCCTCTGTTACTGCTGCATGCCTCTGTTACTGCTGCATGCCTCTGTTACTGCTGCATGCCTCTGTTACTGCTTCTTCTGCTGCTGTTCCCATCATTGGTCTGGTTTTTGAGTCGACTCGACTTTTGAGTTTTGAGTCGACTCAAAAGTCAACTCGGTATAATGTCACTTTTGAGTTTTGAGTCGACTCAAAAGTCAACTCGGTATAATGTCACTTTTGAGTTTTGAGTCGACTCAAAAGTCAACTATCAATGCTTTCGCCTGCTGCATGCCTCTGTTACTGCTGCTTCTGCTGCTGCTGTTCCCATCATTGGTCTGGTGTTTTTTTGTCCGCTTGAGAGACCGGGTCTGGGGTCCCCATCAGCAGTCAAGAGCCCAGGTAAGTGTGCGTGTGGCTGCTTCTTCTATCGTTGCTGCTCCTGCTGCTGCTGCTTCTTCTAGCGTTGCTGCTCCTGCTGCTGCTGCTTCTTCTATCGTTGCTGCTCCTGCGCTTCTGTTATTTCTGCTTGCCCAGCTGCTTGCCCAGCTGCTTGCCCAGCTGCTTGCCCAGCTGCTTCCGGCTCGCCAGCTGGGCAAGCAGTGGTGTGCGGTGGTGTGCGGTGTCAGTGTGCGGTGTCAGTGTGCCACTGACTGACCTCTCTGCTACTCCCATCCTCCCTCTCACATTTTCCTCTCAACTCCCCTCTCCCCTCTCACTCTCAACTCTCCTGTGTCCCACAGCGCGTGCGCGCCAGCTGTGCAAGCGGTGGAGTGAGGTGGCGCTGACGATGCAGGGGCGGCTGCGAGTGGTGGAGGACACGCGGGCGCTGCGCGCGCTGCTGCCGCGCGCTGACGTGGCGCGCTTCGTGGCGCGTGACGTGGCGTACATGGAGGCTGCTATCGCCTCATTGGTTGACACTGCCACCACTATTACCACCACCACCACCGCCAGTATTGCTAGCGCCGTTTCCATTGGCGCTGGCGTTGGCGCTGCTGCTGCTGCTGAGACTGCTGCTGGGGGAGTCATGACAGAGGCAGCAGGCCCGATGCCGCACGCCCTCGCCTCTGCCCTCTCACTCGCTCAACTCTATCACGTGGACGCCTGGCAGGTGAGGGTTGAGTGCTAGTAGTAGTGCAACCAGCACCGATGAGAGAGCTGCTGCTGAGACTGCTGCTGGGGGAGTCATGACAGAGGCAGCAGGCCCGATGCCGCACGCCCTCGCCTCTGCCCTCTCACTCGCTCAACTCTATCACGTGGACACCTGGCAGGTGAGGGTTGAGTGCTAGTAGTAGTGCAACCAGCACCGATGAGAGAGCTGCTGCTGAGACTGCTGCTGGGGGAGTCATGACTGAGGCAGCAGGCCCGATGCCTCACGCCCTCGCCTCTGCCCTCTCACTCGCTCAACTCTACCACGTGGACGCCTGGCAGGTGAGGGCGAGGGTTCGCTGGGGATGCCGTTGACAGCTAGCTGGCTGCTCTGTTGTTGACAGCTGGCGCGTGGGGACTGGCGAGAGGGGGTCGGTGGGAATACTGGCAGCAGAACCATGTACTGCTCAGTCGTGCTTCGTCCCTAATTTGTACAGAACTTCTGCTGAAACATGGTTCTGAATCATCAACCCCTTTTTGTGTCTTATGTGGTGCAGGTTCATCTGACGTACGTTCGCTCAGTGCTGCTCTCTGATTGGCCGACGCAAGATATCATCGCTGAGGTGGAGGCCCACAAAACCGCCATCTGTACCCGTCCCACCGCAGCCTTCTCCTTCCTCTGGACCTCCGTGCTTCCCCGCTTTCTCACTCAAATACAGACAAAACCACACACAAAGTCACACCCCTTCAGGCTCCCCACCCTCGCCCCCCACCTCCTCCACCTCCTCTCCCACTGCCTCCTCTCCTCCCTCTCCCCTCCCCCCCTTCCCTCCTCCCCTCTCACCCCCTCTCCTCCTCTCTCCCACCCACTCTCTTTCCCGCTCCCGCCAACCCCTCTCACCGCACTCAACTCCTTTGTATCGTCAGCGCAGAGCGCAGCATCCCTTGCTTCCAGGCTCTCCCTTCTAGCAAGCCAGCTTGAGAAGGCAGGGGGGCTTGAACCGCCGTTGGATGGGTGGGTGCTTCTGGGGGCGGCTGTTGCTGGTGATGCAGAAGGGGAGGGCGATATGGGTATCAAGGAGGTGGAGAGAATGGTTGAGAGGGAGATAGAGCGGTGCTTCGACGGGTCGTCTGTGCTGGCTGCTGCTGAGATAGTTTCATCTCTCGCTTCCTCTGTTGCAGCATCTGCTACAGCAGGAACAGCAGCTGCTGCGTTGCCTGCTGCAGTTGCAGCAGCAGGAGGTTCAAGCGATCTGGCCGCTCAACCCCGCTTCAACCAGAGCCACTTTCTCTGGCTCTTTGCTAAGTGCCAGTTGAGGCAAGCTGGCGTGCTTGCTGATTCAGAGACCTCAATCGTTACAATCGAAGAGGGGAGTGACAGGGGGGCGGTGATGGCAAGTGGTGGGAAGCAAGGCAGCAAGGCGGGCAGGGAAGAAAGTGGGAAGGGGAGGGGGTTGAGTTTGGAGGGGCTCCAATCTGCGCGTGTGGCCATGGCTGGGGTTCTCTCGTTGTTTTCAGAGGAGAAGCGGTGCAAATTCACGCTCCTGCTGCTGCGAGGATGTGAGCGGTGGGTTCTAGAAGCGTGTATTGCAGGGGAAGATAGTGGAGGGAAGAGAAGCAGGGGGGGAGGAGATGTTAGTGGGAAGAAGGGGAGGGAGGGGAGGGGTGGGAGAGGGAAGGAGGGAGGAGAGGTGCGGAGGGGTGTGGAGCTTTGGCTAGATGTTGTGGGAGATTGGATGGGGTGTGGTGGTGGGGAATCGGGGGAGGAAGAAGGGAAGGAGGAGAGGGAGGAGAGAGAGGAGTGTGTGGTGGAGTGTGGGAGATGCATTCAGAAGCTTCTGGCCAATGGGGTCGTGACACGTCAGCAAGGTGTGCTGCTCCTCCGGTTCCTCTCCGACTCATTGCTGAACACCCAAGGCCCTTCGGATAAGAACAGCTCAGCTGCCAGGTCAGCTGCCAGGTCAGCAGTCCAGTCAGCACAAAGGAAGGACCTTCAAAATAATGCATCACCGAGCGAAGATATAATCTTTCCTGCTCGATCCTTAACTCGGGCTTTAATGCGTCAGATGGTTCTCCTGGGATGCCCCTTGCTCGCCCTAGTCGCCCTAGCCCAGGCCACACACGGCCGTGACAGCTGGCGGCTGCAAATTGATGCTAAGCCAAGGCGCCGTGTGCTGACGTCAGCTAGGTCAGCAGCAGCAGCCAATCAGGGAGCAGGAAGAGCAGGCGGGAAGCCTGGGAGGGCAAGGGGGATGGGAGTAACGGCAGGTGCTGCTTCCAGGAAGCTTCCTGGTGATGCGGGCAGCGAGACGGGGAGCACGGGCAGCGAACAGGAGGAGTTTGCCACGAGTGACGTCAGCAGGGTGGCTGGTGACGCCAGCAGGGGGGGCAGGAGGGCGGGGAGAGGAGTGAGTGGGAGGGGAGGGAGGGTTGGTAGGACTGGTAGGGGAGGAGGAGTGGGGAAGGGAGAGGAGGAGGAGGAGGGAGAAGGAAAGAGTGAGAAAGAGAAAGAGGAAGATCCAATGGACCTATTTGCATCGATGGGACTAGTTTCGTCTACTCCCCGTGCTGCTGCTGGTAGCATTGGTAAGCCTGAAGCTTCCAAGAAGAAGCCTCTGGTAGTCTCCAAGGCTGGTGGTGGTAGGCTCGGGGCGGTGAGAAAGGGAGGCTCGGCAGCTTCGGCACCAGCTTTGGTAGAACCAGAAGGTTTGGCGCTAGGCTCGATGCTTGGTTCGGTGGAATCGCTCCCGGATTTGGCTGCAACGGCTTCTTCAGGTGCAGTTTCAGGTGATTGTTCAGGTGCTCTCTCTGCTGCGATTTCACCTGGGGAGGGCGGGCAGATGACAATGGACTTTGCAGCAGGGGCTGCTGGGGAGGAAATCTCCGTCTCCTCCCCACAGCATAAAACTCTCGCCTCAACTGTTTCTCCTCCTGCCACTCCTGCTGCTGCTGCTCCTACTGATGCTGATAAGTCTGATGCTAATGCCGAAGCTACTGCACCTGTTGCGTCCCGGCCTGAGATCAGTATTGTGGGTCTCTACTTGTCAGTATTCCGAGAAATTATGGGAGAAGCAACTAAGAACTCGTTTCAAGACAGGTTAGCTCAGGCGATCATGAGAGTTATTCTTTCACTGGTAGAGGTGAGGGAAGGGGAGGTGCGGCAGGTGCTGAGAGAGAGAGAAGGAAGGAGTGAGACAGAGGAGGATGAGGAGGAGGAGGAGAGTGGGTGGGGGCTTGATCTGCCAGAGGATGAGGAGGAGGAGGATGGGGAGGAGAGTGGGTGGGGGCATTTTGAGGTTCTTGTTGCAGCTGTGCGTTCTGCTGTGTGGAGGCTGCTGGTGCGTGTGGGAACACAGGAGGGAACGCAGGAGGGGGAATCTGCAGTGATGCAAAGTGCCACACTTAGCAGCAACACTGCTGCACGTTTCCCTGTGGTGGTGCTAAGTGGCACACTTAGAGCAGTGGTCCAGGACGCACTGAGGGCTGTAGCTCCCGCATCATCCGACCTATCAGCACCTGCCACGTGGCTCTCTGGGAGAGGGTTCTTTGTGAATTCGGTAGGGCTTGGGGTGATGGGCAGTGTAGAGGGGTGCTGGGGAGTGTGGGATCTGGAAGAGGGGGGAGAGGAGGCAGAGGAGGAGGAGAGATGGGGAGGGCAAGGAGGGAGACAAGGATGGAACGGAGGAGGAAGTGTGGGAGGGGATATGGATGACGTGGCGTTGGACAGGTGGCGCTGGGCAGCTCTGCGGTCGCGTGCGATCGTGCAGTCTGATTGGCCGGGAGCGCTCGCTGATGTGGCACCACTGCTGGATGACGTGGCAGCGGACGGCAGATTCGGGAGCATAGGCTCGGCAGTGGAGTCCTTCAAACGAGCCTACTTCATTCTGGATAGCGGGGGAGGTAAGGAGAAGGGGGCAGGGGGGAGGCAAACGAAAGCAGTGGGTGTTTTTACTCAGCAGCAACAGCTGCAGCAGCAGCAACAGCTGCAGCAGCAGCAGCAGCAGCAGCATCGTGAGCTATCCCTCCTGGCTCTTCTGTCCTTGTGGGACCCTCTCCTCGCTCCTAAATGGTGCCATGCCTCTGCCACCCCTGCTGGTGCTGCTACTGCTACTGCGACTGCTACTGCTACTGCTGCTGCGGCTGCGGCTGGGCTGCATCCGCTGCACGAGTGCTGGTTCCTGCCTCTCCGCCGCTGCGCTCACTCTCTCCCCTCTGCCACAGCAGCAGCAGCAGCAACAGCAACTGCAGCAGGAGGGGTAGGAGCAGGAGCAGCACAGGGTATTCTCCTCGTGCCGTCGCTGCTGCTCTCCGCGCTTGACGCTGCTGCCTTCCTGCCGTCAGGTAAGAGGGCAGCAGGGCGAATGCTGCTCTCCCGAGACGAAGCGGAACAACTCCTGGCTGATACTGCTGCTGCTGGGAGCAGTAACAGCGTTACCAGCAGTAACAGCAGTATCAGCGGTAGCAGTGGTAACAGTGGTAACAGCACTGGCCTAACAACGGCCTCTCAAGCTGCTCTCTTTATGCTCAAAGTGGCTCTGCTCCTGCCGTACCCCCAAGTATGGCTGCAGTCGATGCAGCTGGTTAAAGTCGCTGCTGCTGCTGCCGCTGATGCTGCTGCAGAGGCTGATGGTGGCGGTAAAGGGAGGGGTAGAGGTGCGTGGGGTGACGGGTGGGGGGGAGAGGAGGAGGAAGAAGAGGAAGAGGATGAAGAGGAGGAGGAGGATGAGGATTCGTTTTATGATGAGGAGTATAGTGATGATGATGGTGGGAGGGTGGGTGGGGGGAGGAGGGGTGGGTGGGGGGCGGGTGGGCGAGGAGGAAGAAGAGGAGGGAGGGGAGGAGGGAGGGGAGGGAAGGATCGTGGTCCGTCATTGGATAATGAAGCTCTGACGCTGCTGCTAGCTGCTGATATCGTGCGCCAGATGGCGGATGCTCATTCGGCGGTGGTTCGGCCGCTGCTAGGAGCTATGGCTAGGGTTATCCCCCCTCTAGCGGTTCGGTTGCAGGAGGAACGGAGGAAGGAGAGAGAGGGAGTGGAGAGAAGGGGGGTGGAGGGAGAGGGTAGGGAGAGAGACGGGGGAGAGAGAGGAGAGGCGGCGAGGAGGAATGGAGGTTCAGGGAGTGGGGAGGTGGAGAGGGGGGTGGGGTTGGGAGGAGGGAGGAGGGAGAGGAGAGACACTGAACAAAGTGGAGTGAGGAGGGATGGGGGTGGGTGGAATGTGGACGAGGAGAGAGATGAGGATGATGAGGGAGATGACAGTTATGGATTTCAGCAGAGGGGTGAGCAGCAGCAGGGGGGGCAGAGCGAGCAGCAGCAGCAGGGGGGGCAGAGGAGAGGCATGCTGGGATCACTTCTCTCTCATATCAGCGCCCTCGCACCTTTGCCAACCGGGGATGATGATGATGATGATGATGGGGATGGTGGTGATGATGATGGGATTGGTAACAATGACAAGGAAACGCTCGGTAGGAAGCATGGCAATAGCAGCAGGAACAACAGCAGCAAGGGTGATACCAGCAGGGGCGATAGCTGCAGCAGCAGGAGCAATAGCAGCACAGTGGGACCTCCGCCTCTATCGCACGGCCTTCCCCCATTTCGTCGCGTCTCTCACTGCCGCCCGGCAGTACGAGCTTGCCGCCCCCCTTGCCCTGCAGTTTCTGGGCAGGCCGACGTTTTCGCGCAACTGGGCAGCTTCCCGGGCAGCTCTGAAGGAATTTCTGGTGAGTGAGCTGAAGACTGCGGAAGCGGCGGGATTAGGGAAGATGGAGCGAGGGGATATATCTAAAGGGAGTCATCAGGGGGCGGAGATTTCCAAGGGTGATATTAGCAAGAGCGGTGATGGTTGTGATAATGGTGAGGGGGAGTTGGTGTATCTGTCTGGGGCCTTGTTTCACATTGGTGTGAATCTTCCAGACGCCTTGCTGCTCGCGCTGCAGATGCTACAGATTGATTCCTAAGAATCGTTCTTGTTGAAGGGATACTACGAGATAAGTACTCAGGGACTGGGTACACCAGTATATGGAAGTTTTGTGTATCGAGTATACCGTAGGTTGGTGATGTCGGTGCAGATGCTGTATTCAGTATGTTGCTTGAATGTAGTATCATCTCACTTTAAGGAAAGCATGGTAGCCTTTTCTACTCAGGTTCACAACAACCTGCTAAATATATTGTACGGTATTGGCCCGGGACATCAACTGGTTATAGAGCCTGTGTATGGGTATAATTTACACCTTCAAGTAGCTATTTCTGTTCATAAGGTAGTTAGAGGGTGTCTCAAATCCCTCGGTCCACCCTGGTTCTATGCGGTCGATGGGGACCAGTCCACCAAACCACCTCGGACCCAAGCGTGGACCCGCTCCCTGAGCGAATGTGGACCGTGGGTGTAGCAAACCAGCACCCTCGTTTTAGCGGGCGAAAGGGACTACAAGGGGGAGGATCCCCTGGTTCGGCGAGCCGGTCCACGTCGGACCCCTGAACAGCCCTAGTATTGGCGAACACTCACGAACTCACCTTGCTCTGTCGCAAAACTTGGCAGCATGCGCTGGTGGACTGGCCAATCACAAGTGTCACAGGACAGAACAAGCCTACTCCATGCACGAATGAACGCGAACATCACAATGACAGTCAACGGGTGACGCCCACGCGCGTCATGGTACAGTTGAGCAAGTGTTCTGTACAGTCCTGCGTGATGGTAACCCAGTTTTTTAAGAAAAGGTACAGTTACGGTCGCCTACACGCTACTGTTGATTGCATCTGCGGACCCAACAACAATGAGTTCGAAGCTGGTTCGCTAGGCTGGTCCACACTGGTCCAGCGGACCAGTCCGGGGTATTTCAGGGTGACGAATTTCAACGTCGGACCAGGAAGGGGCGGACCCGCGTACCAGCCGAAGTGAGACACGTCCTTATGCCTTGCTGCCAGCGCATTAAGTATCCAAATATTTTCCACCCGAAACAGTACTCACACGAAAACATTGCCAAACCTGCTAAACAACCGAGCTGGTTACCTTTCGTGTCGTGACTGCATGCAATCGTGAACAGAGCAAGCGAAAATCGCTAGGTATCTCGTGTCAGATACCAGTACGCTTCCACTACACGCAACCTGGAGCAGAAACGCGGCCTCAGATAGCCTCTCCCTCCTTGGGGATTTGTTTTCCAACCTCGAGATTTGCTTCGCTGGATGTTTCTCTACAAAACTTGAGACTGCTGGTCATTCTGCTTCACGGTTCTTCTGTTCTGTCCGTTGATTCTTGCTTCTTGGAGTAGATAGGACTTCGTTGCATATCCCTCATCCGTTTACCCTCCATTGTTAGGGTTTGCTTGCTACGCCTCTCTCTGCTAGTCGAATTTGCGAACTGTGGTAGCCATCGCGTGCCTGGGAGCTTCCGTGCTTTTCGCTTAGTAACTTGCCAGCGACTGCCGATTTGCGGTGCTGAGCGTTTTCAATTCAGAACCATGGCGACGGCTTCAGGTGAGGCCTTTTCGCCGCAGCGATGCTACATGACTGTCAGACGATTCATGGATGTTGGGTAGCTTGTAGACAGTGTTTCGAGCCGTCTCGATAACGGATGAAACCTAGTCTGTATTACTCGAAGAGCGTTCGTCAGATGCTTTTGTTCGATGCATTTGCTAGTATGCATCCCGACCTAGCGTGGAGACGTCTTAGGAATGGATGCAACGTAGTCTGTATACTCGAGGAGCGTTGTACACATTCTGAGCTAGTTAGGTGTCGTCTTAAAAGTCGATAACATCCGTTTGTAACGTCGAATCTCAGTACCAAGAGCTCGTTTTGATGAATTTTCGTCTCCTCGTGCAACTGCTTTAGCGTTTGAGAGTCTTCTTTATGGAACTATCTGTTATTAGGCTATAATTTGATAAGAATCACCCACGTGAACCACCTTGATTATATTTTCTGCTGCATCGTGCGGCTGTTCAGCGTTTCTCCTTGCGTTCCTCACGGCATGACATGCGCCTCTCCCGTTTCCCTCCTCAAAACTCACGTTCCCATCGTGTTCAAATCTTGCGAGGACCAATATTGTTAGCTTGCGTGCCTTGGAGAGATTTGACTCTAATTCGTACCCTTCGCGTTGTGACTGCAAGACGACCTGTCTCATCCTCTGTTCGTACTTCTCATATCCCTCCCCCCCCTTACCCTCTAACAGCGACGTTTAAGTCCCGCGAGGACCACAGGAAGCAGCAGGAGCTCGAGGAGGCGCGTAAGGAGGGGTGCACCTGTCTCAACCTTCCTCTGCTCGTACCTCTCCTCTCGCCCCCCACACCCCCCGTTGACAGCCACGTTTAAGTCGCGCGAGGACCACAGGAAGCAGCAGGAGCTCGAGGAGTCGCGTAAGGCGGGGTGCACCTTCCATATCCTTCTAAATTCTCCTTCCTCCCCTCTTGTCCGTTTCTTGTCTCATCCAGCCACGTTCAAGTCGCGCGAGGATCACAGGAAGCAGCAGGAGCTCGAGGAGGCGCGTAAGGAGGGGTGCACCTGTCTCAACCTTCCTCTGCTCGTACCTCTCCTCTCGCCCCCCACACCCCCCGTTGACAGCCACGTTTAAGTCGCGCGAGGACCACAGGAAGCAGCAAGAGCTCGAGGAGGCGCGTAAGGCGGGGTTGGCGCCAGCCGAGTTGGACGAGGATGGCAACGAGATCAATCCGCATATCCCGCAGTACATGTCGTCCGCGCCCTGGTACCTCAACGCCGAACGACCCGTGAGTAGCCTGCTGCTGAGGGGGTTTTTTGGGTGGGTGGGGGTAGTGGTAGAAAGGAGAGGAAGAGGGGAAAGAGGGAGGATGGCAACGAGATCAATCCGCATATCCCGCAGTACATGTCGTCCGCGCCCTGGTACCTCAACGCCGAACGACCCGTGAGTAGCGGGGGAGGGGAGCGGGCAGGGGTTGCGGGGGGGTGGGGCTTGGGAGTGGGGGTTGGGAGGATGGTGGTGTTGGTATGGGTGGGGCTCGTTTGCAGTACATGTCGTCCGCTCCCTGGTACCTCAACGCCGAACGACCCGTGAGTAGCCTGCTTCTGAGAGGGGACTTGTGTGGGGGGGAGAAAAGGGAGGAAGGGGGTGAAGGACGAGGATGGCAACGAGATCAATCCGCATATCCCGCAGTACATGTCGTCCGCGCCCTGGTACCTCAACGCCGAACGACCCGTGAGTAGCGGGGGAGGGGAGCGGGCAGGGGTTGCGGGGGGATGGGGCTTGGGAGTGGGGGTTGGGATGGTGGTGTTGGTATGGGTGGGGCTCGTTTGCAGTACATGTCGTCCGCGCCCTGGTACCTCAACGCCGAACGACCCGTGAGTAGCGGGGGAAGGGGGTTGGGGCGGTGATGGCGGTGGGGGAAGGGGCGTGGGGCGGGGATGATGGTGGGGGTTGGGATTGTGGGTGTATGGGTTGGAATGGTGGGTGAATGGATGGGGCTCGTTCCCAGGAACCCAGTTCATGTCCTCTGCGCCCTGTCATCTCAACGCCGAATGACCCGTGAGTAGAAAGAGTGAGCAGACGGAAATGGGGAGGGGAGGGGGGAAAAGGTAGAGGTGGGGGGTGTTGGGGGAGGCGGTTGAAGGGTGTGTGTGTGGATGTGTGTGATTGGGGTACGTTTTCCAGAAGAGCGTGTCTTGTGGACATTTGCCTTGCTGTGTCAACATCACCACAAATGTTTGTGTTTGCATGTGTGGCTTTAAGTTTCAGGTTTGTGTTGCACGCATGTTGTAACACCACCACCCTGTATTCTTTGACTTTTGAGTCGACTCAAAACTCAACTGCACGCATGTTGTAACACCACCACCCTGTATTCTTTGACTTTTGAGTCGACTCAAAAGTCAACTGCACGCATGTTGTAACACCACCACCCTGTATTCTTTGACTTTTGAGTCGACTCAAAAGTCAACTGCACGCATGGTGTAACACCACCACCCTGTATTCTTTGTATTCACCCTGATGTCGTGTGAGTGAGCAGAGTTTGAAGCATCAACGGAACTGGAAGGGCGAGGGGAACTACACCAACCTGTGGTACGACCGAGGGGCCAAGGGCTTTCAGGCTGAGAAGTTCCGCAAGGGCGCCTGCACCAAGTACGTTTTCTTACCGCCACTGTGTGTGCCTTACACTCTCTGTGGTGCTCTAGTCGAGTATAGGGCGAGGGGAACTACACCAACCTGTGGTATGATAGAGGGGCCAAGGGCTTCCAGGCCGAGAAGTTCCGCAAGGGCGCCTGCACCAAGTGCGTCCTTCTTTTCACGCCACTGCTTGTCTGCTTGTGCCTAACCCTGGGGAGCTGTAGTGTAGTCTGTTTCTGGGAGTAGGGCGAGGGGAATTACACCAACCTGTGGTATGACCGAGGAGCTAAAGGCTTTCAGGCCGAGAAGTTCCGCAAGGGCGCCTGCACCAAGTACGTCCTTCTGTTCATCACACTGCTTGTGCTTGCACCTTGTGGTGCTGTAGTTTAGTCTAGTCGAGTTTAGGGCGAGGGGAATTACACCAACCTGTGGGATGACCGAGGAGCCAAGGGCTTCTAGGCTGAGAAATGCATGTGTCAGACCATAAGGGCGGCGCTTGCGCTAAGTACGTCCCCTCAGGTTAATGCATGTGTCTTACCCTGTGAAGATCCAGTCAATTGAGTCAGTCGCCCTTGCCAACTCAATGTGCTAAGTTCCAACTTCCTCCCCCCCCCCCCCCCCCCCCCTTCTCTTCTCGCGTTTGGCTTTATCTCCTCCCTTGTCTTTCGACCCACCAGCTGTGGCGCCATGACACATACTGCCAAGCTGTGTGTTGAGCGGCCAAGGAAGGTGGGCGCCAAGTGGACGAGCCAGAGCATCGCAGCCGACAAGAAGATCCAATCGATCGAACTCAACTCCTCCCTTGCCCCCTCCCTCTTTCCCCCCACCCCACCAGCTGTGGCGCCATGACCCATACTGCAAAATTGTGTGTGGAGCGACCAAGGAAGGTGGGCGCCAAGTGGACGAGTCAGAGCACACACTGACCCTATCTCCCCTCCTTCCTGGGCCCCCACCACCAGCTGTGGCGCCATGACCCATAATGCAAAATTATGTGTGGAGCGACCAAGGAAGGTGGGCGCCAAGTGGACGAGTCAGAGCATTGCGCCCGACGAGAAGATTCAATCGATCGAACTCAACTATGAGGGCAAGCGGGACCGGTGAGGGGGGCTGGAGAAATTAGTTGTTTTTTCTTACTGTTTTTGGCTAGATGTTTGGGTTTTGCTGCTGACGAGAAGATCCAGTCGATCGAACTGGACTACGAGGGCAAGTGCGGCCGGCAAGCTTACCTTCCTGCGTTTGGCTAATTTGATGGATTCTTTGACTAGTGAGCCTATGATACTGATAATTGGTGGTGTTTGTGAGTTGGTGTGTGTAGGTGGAACGGGTTTGACGCAGCCACGTACAAGCGAACCATGGACTCGTATGATATTCGGGCCGAAGCGAGGAAGAAGTTTCAGAAAGAGCAGCAGCTGAAGAAGCTGGCTGGGAAAGGGGGCGACGGGGAGGGAGGGGGGAAGGAGGGAGGAGGGAAGGAGGGAGAGGGAGGGGAGGGGGGAGAGGATGAAGAGGAGGAGGAGGAGGAGGATGATGCGAAGGTGGATGAGAGCAGGCAGATGGACTTTGGGAAGGTGGAGAAGCGTGTGAGGACGACTGGTGGTGGCAGCACAGGTTCAGTGCGGTACGTGATGGTGTGGGAAGGTGTAGAAAGGTGCAAAAGGGTGAACAGGCGTGTGAGGGGGAAGAGGATGCGAAGGTGGATGAGAGTAGGCAGATGGACTTTGGAAAGGTGGAGAAGCGTGTGAGGACGACTGGTGGTGGCAGCACAGGTTCAGTGCGGTACGTGATGGTGTGGGAAGGTGTAGAAAGGTGGAGAAAGGTGGAGAAGCGTGTGAGGAGGAGGATGATGCAAAGGTGGATGAGAGCAGGCAGATGGGCTTCGGGAAGGTGGAGAAGTGTTTGAGGACGACCGGTGGTGGCAGCACGGGATCAGTGCGGTACGTTCAAGTTTAAATGGTGTGTAGAAAGGTGCAGAAGGGATAAGCTAAGGTGCAGAAGGAGATGCTAAAGACAAGTTCTACCTGGGCGACAACCACAACTGCACTTCCCCTCACCCCATGCCCATCACCTTTTGAGTCGCCCTTAAAGCCAACCCCGAAGGAGACGCTAAAGACAAATTCTACCTGGGAGACAACCACAACCGCATCAGCGGGCAGGCCCTGGAGTTCCGCCAACTCACTCACCCCCTCCTTCTCCATCCTCCCCTCTCTCCCTTTTCCCACTTTCTCCCTTTCTCCCTTTCTCCTTCCCCCTCTCCCCCCCAGAAACCTGCGTATTCGTGAGGACACAGCCAAGTACCTGTTGAATCTGGACGTAGACTCGGCTTACTATGACCCGAAGACGCGCTCCATGCGTGAAGACCCGAACCCCGAGGGAGACGCAAAGGACAAGTTCTACGTGGGCGACAACCACAACCGCATCAGCGGGCAGGCCCTGGATTTCCGCCAACTCCTTTCCCTGCGCTTCCCCTCCCTCCTTCCCCTCCTGCCCTCTCGCTCCTTCCCTCCCCCCCAGAAACCTGCGTATTCGCGAAGACACAGCGAAATACCTCCTGAATCTGGACGTGGACTCGGCCTATTACGACCCCAAAACCCGTTCTATGCGCGAAGATCCGAACCCCGAGGGTGATGCAAAAGACAAGTTCTACGTGGGAGACAACCACAACCGCATCAGCGGGCAGGCCCTGGAGTTCCGCCAGCTCACAGTCCACGCGTGGGAAGCCATGGAGAAGGTCAACGTGGACGTGCACTTACAGGGTGCGCCAAGCCAGGCAGAGCTGCTGCACCGGGAGTTTAAGGTCAAAAAGGAGAAGCTGAAGGGGGCGAGTAAGGAGTCGGTGCTGGCCAAGTATGGGAACGCGGCGAGTAATAAGGGGAGAGGGGGTGGTGGGGAGGGGGAGGAGGAGGAGGGGATTCCGGAGGAGCTGCTGCTGGGGCAGACTGAGGTGCAAGTGGAGTATGACCGGGCGGGACGACCCCTCAGAGGCGTGGTGAGTGACACTCGCTGCAGGTAGGCTTGTAACGGGTGAGTTTAGGGTCAAGAAGGAGAGGCTGAAGGGGGCGAGCAAGGAGTCGGTTCTGGCCAAGTATGGGAACGCTGCGAGTAATAAGGGGAGAGGGGGTGCTGGGGAAGGGGTGGAGGAGGAGGGGATTCCGGAGGAGCTGCTGCTGGGGCGGACGGAGGTGCAAGTGGAGTATGACCGCGCGGGGCGACCTCTCAGAGGAGTGGTAAGTGGCAATCTGCTTATAACGGGTATGGTACAAGCAGACGTGTACAATTGTGGTATAGTTGCTTTCCCTAGTCCTGGGACGAGGGGATTCCGGAGGAGCTGCTGCTGGGGCAGACGGAGGTGCAAGTGGAGTATGACCGAGCGGGTCGACCGTTGAGAGGAGTGGTAAGTAGCAATGCTCCAGGTATGCTTATAACGGGTATGGCACATTGCAGCAGTACGGTTGCTTTTGTTGCCCTGCAGTCGCTATGAGGAGGATGTGTTGGTGAACAACCACATGCCGTGTGTGTGTGGTGTGGGGCAGCTGGTGGGGCTTATGCGTGGCCCTTTCTTACCTGAGCGTATCTTTTCTCTCGGTGTCCCTTTGTTGCAATCTCTCCTCAGGACAAGGCAGTGCCGTGCAGTCGGTACGAGGAAGACGTGTTGGTCAACAATCACACGGCCGTGTGGGTGTGGGGCAGCTGGTGGGGCGGGGGCGTGTGGGGGTACGTGTGCTGCTAATGACTTAAGTGTTTCTTCTCCCTCCCTTCTCTCAGGACAAGGCAGTGCCCTGCAGTCGCTACGAGGTGGATGTTCTGGTCAACAACCACACGGCAGTGTGGGGCAGCTGGTGGGGCAGGGGCGTGTTTTTAGTCGACTCAAAACATGAGTTGAGTGTATCTGTTTCTCTCCCTCCTCTACTCCACTCGCTGTTCCAACCCTCAGGACAAGGCAGTGCCGTGCAGTCGGTACGAGGAAGACGTATTGGTCAACAACCACACAGCGGTGTGGGGCAGCTGGTGGGGTGGGGGCGTGTGGGGGTACGCTTGCTGCCACCAGACCACTCGCATGAGCTACTGCACCGGTGCTAGCTAGTGGGATCTGAACACCCTTCCTCTCCCCTCCTCTCCCCTCCTCTCCGCCCCACCCTACCAGGACAAGGCCGTACCCTGCAGTCGCTACGAGGAAGACGTATTGGTGAACAACCATACAGCCGTGTGGGGCAGCTGGTGGGGCGGGGGCGTGTGTGGGGCTACGCGTGCTGCCACCAGAGCAATCTCATTTGAACGCATTTCGCTCCTGTTCCCCTTCCTTCCTGTTCCAATCCCTCAGGACAAGGCAGTACCATGCAGCCGGTATGAGGAAGACGTATTGGTCAACAACCACACGGCCGTGTGGGGCAGCTGGTGGGGCGGGGGCGTGTGGGGCTATGCGTGCTGCCACCAAACCACTCGCATGAGCTACTGCACGGGTGCCAGCGGCATTGCTGCTGCCGAGGCGTCGGCGAATCTGATGCAGGCGAACATGGAAAGGCGCGAGCAGATGAAGGCAGCGAAAGGTATGTTGTGAGAGGAATGGAAGGCACAGAAGGTGCGTGTGTTAGAGGGAGTGAGGGGCAGCTGCGGGGAAGAGGGAAAGGGGGGGGGGCTACGTGTGCTGCCACCAGAGACCACCAGACCACTCGCATGAGCTGCTGCACGGGTGCCAGCGGCATTGCTGCTGCTGAGGCATCGGCGAATCTTATGCAAGCCAACATGGAGAGGCGCGAGCAGCTGAAGGCAGCGAAAGGTGGGTAGTGAGAACAGAAGCACTGAAGGTGCGTGTGTTAGGAGGAGCGTGGGGAAGCTGGTGGTGGGAGGGGGAGCGGGGGTTTGTGAGGCTACGCATGCTGGTGGGAGCCGGTGGGGTGGGGGCGTGTGGGGCTATGCGTGCTGCCACCAGACCACTCGCATGAGCTACTGCACGGGTGCCAGCGGCATTGCTGCTGCTGAGGCATCGGCGAATCTTATGCAAGCCAACATGGAGAGGCGCGAGCAGCTGAAGGCAGCGAAAGGTGGGTAGTGAGAACAGAAGCACTGAAGGTGCGTGTGTTAGGAGGAGCGTGGGGAAGCTGGTGGTGGGAGGGGGAGCGGGGGTTTGTGAGGCTACGCATGCTGGTGGGAGCCGGTGGGGTGGGGGCGTGTGGGGCTATGCGTGCTGCCACCAGACCACTCGCATGAGCTACTGCACGGGTGCCAGCGGCATTGCTGCTGCTGAGGCATCGGCGAATCTTATGCAAGCCAACATGGAGAGGCGCGAGCTGCTGAAGGCAGCGAAAGGTGGGTAGTGAGAACAGAAGCGCTGAAGGTGCGTGTGTTAGGAGGAGCGTGGGGAAGCTGGTGGTGGGAGGGGGAGCGGGGGTTTGTGAGGCTACGCATGCTGGTGGGAGCCGGTGGGGTGGGGGCGTGTGGGGCTATGCGTGCTGCCACCAGACCACTCGCATGAGCTACTGCACGGGTGCCAGCGGCATTGCTGCTGCTGAGGCGTCGGCGAATTTGATGCAAGCCAACATGGAGAGGCGCGAGCTGCTGAAGGCAGCGAAAGATGGGTAGTGGGCAGAGAGGGCGGTACTGGGGTGTGTGCATTGCTACTGCACGGGTGCCAGCGGCATTGCTGCTGCTGAGTCATCGGCGAATCTGATGCAAGCGAACATGGAGAGGAGGGAGCAGCTGAAGGCAGCGAAAGGTGCGTGTGTTAGGGGGCAGCTGGTGGGAGCCGGTGGAGCTCACATGAGCTACTGCACGGGTGCCAGCGGCATTGCTGCTGCGGAGGCTTCAGCCAATCTGATGCAAGCGAACATGGAGAGGAGGGACGTGAGGTGAGGGTGTTTTTGAGACGTCTCAAAAACACCCTCACCTAACATGGAGAGGAGGGAGCAGCTGAAGGCAGCGAAAGGTGCGTGCATTGGTGGGAAGGAGATTGGGTTTCTTTAGAGGGGGAGCGGGGGTTTGTGGGGCTACGCATGCTGCCACCAGACTACACGCACGGGTGCCAGCGGCATTGCTGCTGCTGAGGCGTCGGCGAATCTGATGCAGGCTAACATGGAGAGGCGCGAGCAGATGAAGGCAGCGAAAGGTGGGTAATGAGTGAGTTAGTGGGGTGTGTGCATTGCTGGGTTGCTGCTGCTGAGGCGTCGGCCAGTCGGATGCAGGCGAACATGGAGAGGCGCGAGCAGATGAAGGCAGCCAAAGGTGTGGTTTAGGATACCGGGTAGAGAGGGATTTGCTGGGTTGGGGCTTCAGCGAATCTGATGCAAGCGAATATGGAGAGGCATGAACAGCTGAAGGCAGCGAAAGGTGGGTAGTGAGGGGAAAGGAAGGCACTGAACAGCCACTCTTCTGCTCTAGGGGCATTGCTTCTGCTGATGAGGAAGAGGCAGAGGAGGGAGCGGGCAAAGCGAAGCAGACAGAGGAAAGGAAAGGAGACGCGGATATGGATCTCAGCTTTCTCCCCTTCATGCTCCTATCCTTCCTCCCGTTCTCCCTTCCCTTGACTGGTTGCTTTTGTCACAGAAGCTGGTGAGAGGGAGGAGGAGGATGAGGAGGGAGCGGGCAAGGCGAAGCAGATTGAGGAGAAGAAAGGAGTGGCGTGGGGTACAGACGCGGATATGGATATCAAGCTGGATAAGAAGAAGCTCAGGGCGGCTCTTAAGAGGGTATGTTGTGTGTGTTGCTTGTGAGTGACTGTGGGGCGAGGGTACTAAGGGGGAGAAGAAGCCAGTGGCATGGGGCACAGACGCGGATATGGACGTCAAACTGGACAAGAAGCTCAGGGCGGCACTGAAGAGGGTAAGAAGAGTGGGTGTGCTGCATGTGAGTGACTGTGGGGCGAGGGTACTAAGGGGGGAGAAGAAACCAGTGGCATGGGGCACAGACGCGGATATGGATGTGTCAAGCTGGACAAGAAGAAGCTCAGGGCGGCACTGAAGAGGGTAAGAAGAGTGGGTGTGCTGCATGTGAGTGACTGTGGGGCGAGGGTACTAAGGGGGAGAAGAAACCAGTGGCATGGGGCACAGACGCGGATATGGATCTCAAGCTGGACAAGAAGGAGCTCAGGGCGGTACTCAAGGGGTAGATGGATGGATCTCAATGTGTGCTTTCCCGTGCCTCTTGATTGCCATGGCAGGAGGATGAGCTGGCTCGGGAGGAGAAGGACGAGCGCAAGCGCAAGTACAACGTCACATACTCCGATGATGTGAGTGGTTTTGTCTGTTCGTCCACTCAAAATCTATCTAGTTTCCGGTATTCGGACAACGGGATACAAGTACAAAGTCACATATTCCGACGATGTGAGTGGTTTTGTCTGTTTGTCCACTCGAAATTGATCTATTAGTTACGTCTGTTTGGAGAAAAGGTTCCTAGTTACACTTACAGCTATTCGCATACTGGACAAAGCAAATCCTTTGTGATGACCTTATGCAGATTCCCCATCTCATGAACCTTTCATGTACCCCACCCCCCTTAACCCCTCCCACCCCTCTTTCCTCCCCCCATTCTTCCTGCCACACCCCCTTTGGGTACTCTGTTGCCCTTCCGTGCTTGCTCCTATTTACAGGTGACGGAGGAGGATATGGAGGCATACCGAATGAAGCGAATCCATGCCGATGACCCCATGCTCATGCCCCACCCCGCATTCTCCTCCTACTTCCTGCCTAATCCTGCTTTCCCTTCCCTGCTTGCTCCCACTTGCAGGTGACGGAGGAGGATATGGAAGCATACCGAATGAAGCGAATCCATTCCGATGATCCTATGCTTGCTTTCCTAGGCAAGGATGACGAAGATGATGCCTAGTTAACTATTTTGTACATCTACTACTACATTGTCAGTACGCTTGTGCCCTGTTAGTTTGCGTACATTAAGCAGGTACGGTATCTGTTTCATTTACACTAGTTACTGGATGATCCAGATATGAGAGGTTGGAATCTGGTGGTGTTGGTGATAATAATTTTGTTTATGTGTCATTTTTACGAGAACCGCACTACACCTATTTCCTGAAGCTCTACAAATCCTAGCTCAATAATCAGGATGTTTTCCGCATACCATGGTCGCAGCTTCGGTCGAAGCTGAGCCATACAGCTCCGCTGCCGCCTTTTTGCTGCGCTTTTCTTACCATACCACCGCCAAGACCAATTGGCTGGGTAATACTGTGTGTCAGTCTCGTCATGCCACGCCCTCTCTGACCAGATGTCTGGTTTGGTGAAACCGTGCCTATAAGCTTGGTCCGAACTTCTAGCAATAGCGATTTTGATAGGTTTCCAAGCAAAATAGACTGGTTCGGATGTCGGACTTGCCGGAAAACCGACAATGATCAGGCGCGAATCCCACGTCGCGCTGGATGCTTGTCGAGATAGACCAAACCTGTCCAGTGCATTATGTCTATCGAGGAAATCAATAATGCATCGCCGTGAGTTGCGGGACACCGCATATCGACTTTCCGCGCCGTGATGCGACTCGCAATCCAAACCAAACCAACCACCATACATAGCACCTACCTGACCAACCCATTCCCCCCACCCCCACCTACGAAACGTCCCTCCTTGCTACTCGCCACAGCCATCCTTTTTCAATAATTCAGTTTCCGAACCAATTATATGAGGCCAACCACGCTGGTTGCTGGTGGAAAAAAATAGCTCCTTCGCAGCAGCTAGGACATTGGTGACGCAAGCTGTACGATCCAGCGGGCGATTCGGAACGCGAGACGACTAATTGTCGCCTGAGCAACTTGCGTTGGGTTTCGGTGTTCTCGATCGCAATCGCCGCATCACACGCTAGGCCCCTTACTCCGCGAAAGCTATAGGCTATGGCGGGGACACGTCTGAGAATAGTAGAGCCGACAACTAGGCTTCCCAAACCAACAGCCTCGCTTCGCGAACCAGCAACTTGGCTTCCTGAACCAATAAGACGCCTTTCTGGCCTTGCGCAAGTGGACCAAATGTGTTCCTATATCGTCCGCTTCGCGCATCCGAGCGCGCACCTCTGTGCGTTGGGATCCTTTCTCTTAGAACGAGCGGAAGGCCCGGGCTTAGCTTCGTATATAACTCAAACAGAGAGAGCTTCAATTCTCGCCCGCAATTACTAAACTATCTTTTCGAGGCGACTGAAAACAAATCCGTGCGGAGTCCGCGTCTCCACGTGATCCAATCTCTCCCGTACCCAACGCAATCAGACGCAGCTTCCGTTATCAACCCGCACCCAGAGGCTCTTCTCTCTGAATTATTGGAACGCCCGTTGCAACTCGCAGTCTCACTTGGGTAGCCTCCTTCGGCCACCAACCTGCTTCTGCGTCTCTCCCGTTCTCGACCCCAGCTTCTGGAATCTCCGGCCTCACCAGTTTTGTCCAAGTATATTTCCCCTCCGCTGAGTATTTATCTGGGCGCTGCGATAAACCTTCGGAGTAATTCGTGAGAACCCAATGACTTTTGAGACATCTCAAAGCTCATCTGTTCAACTTCTCGTTGCGACAGAACGCTGCGTTCTGCTGGTAACCAAGCGCTGCGACAACACAGCTTCAAGCAAGATTCCAGCAGATAAGCTCGACCGGTGCCTTTCCCTGTCAATCGTACTCGTTCTTCGTTTTCTCATTGCAACGAAACCCGGCTTTCTGTTGGTAAACCCAGCGCCGCGACAATACGGCTTCAAATCCCTTCGACGCTGCACCTAAGCAACTTCGAGGCCCTTGGGAACTCCATGGAGCAATTTGGGTCCCCCAACAGAGTGTACAGACAAACCGAGATGACTTTTGCATCAACTCAAACAGCAAATCGAGTGTACATACAACCCCAACCCGAGCTAGCCAATGCACGCTTCGCGGACTCTTCGCGAATTCGCCGAGGAACTGGTCGTAACACTCGCAACGCAACCTCGCCCGCTCAGGCACAAAATTCGCTGAAGCGCCCTCTTCCGCCAGTTCTGCTTCCGCTCGCCAGCCCCGCGGGACCCGCCGTCTCGCCTGTTCTCGGCTCCCCTCCACTGAACCATCATCCTGATGCCTCTCCATGTTTCGCCGGTCACGCGGCAGAGGCAGGGGGGCCCGCGGTCGGTGCGGTGAGCGCCTGTTTTGGAGGCGCGGACGGGTTGACGGCGGGAGACTGGGCCGACAGGCAGAAGAGGAGGCGGTTGTTTTCCCCCCTGGTCGCGGAAAGCGCGGCAGCGAGTGCGGTGGAAAGCGCGATGGAGGCGGCACGCGCGAGGGCGCCCGCGTGTGTGGAAACTCTTGCTGAGGAGCGCGCGACCGTGGGCGCATCTTCTGAGGAGCGCGCGACTGTGGGCGCGGGCTTTGCTGGTATTGCGCGCTCGGAGTTGCGAGTTGCTCCTGATGGCGGAGGAAGATGGCGGAAACGGCGGCTGGGGGAGGGGGGCGCTGGTGTGGGGGGAGCGGAAGTGAGCGCGGGGGAGGGGAGACCGGGGGAAGCGGGAGAGGCGGAAGAGGCTGGTGGTGTTGGGGCGGAAGCCAAACGGAGGAGGCAAGGAGGGATGGAGGGGCAGTGGAGGGCCGGGAGGAGAGGCAGTCAGGGAGAGGGAGAAGGGGATGAAGAGGGAGGGGAGGAGGAGGAGGAGGATGATGAGGAGAATAGTGAGGAGGATGAGGAGGGAGGGGAGGAGGAGGAAGAAGAGGAGGGGGAGGTGGATGATGAGAGTGATGAGGTGGCAAGGGGTCAAGCGGATGGGGATGAAGGCGAGAACGACCAGCTGGGAAACAGAGTGGAGAGGGAAGGGTGCGCACGTATGCGGATCCGCAGAGGGTCTCAGCATGACAGGTCAATTCAGCCAGATGAATATGGTGAGGTTGAGGAGGAGGACGAGTGGGAGGAGGAGGAAGAGGAGGATGAAGAGGACGAGGAGGAAGAGGAGAATGATGAGGATGAGGATGATTATGACGAGGATGAGGACGGGGATGAGAATGATGGTGACTGTAGCAGTGACTATGACGAGAGCTGGTGGGAGGAGTGCGATAGTGATGTGGAGGGAGGGGAGGAGGCGAACAGCAGGTTGGGGGAGGAGAGATTGGTGGATGGATTGAGGGAAAGTTTTCAGAAGTTGGAAACGGAGTGTAGATTGGCGAGGAAGAACTATGACGAGTTGCGATCTGCTTGTAAGCAGCTTCAGGAGCAAAACAGCTTCTTCCGATCTAAGGTGAGAAGGGTGAAGTTTTGGCGGGGGGTGTATATGTTAGTTGTAATGAAGATGAGGTTTTCTAATGTTTGGTTGGATGGGTTTGTCTTTCTGCAGATTGAAACCCTTCAAGTGCTCCATGGGGGATTCCAGACTAAGCAGGGTCTATAGCCTAAAACTATGTACGGTTTTCATCAAATGAAGGAGAAATAGATAGATATATTAACCAATATTGCAATAAAAGACAGTTATTAGCACGCATCCTATCTTATATATCAGAAAAAAGCTGTAGCGCCTTTGAGTTGCGTCCTATCTGACAAAGCTGAATAGATACACTAAAAGCAAGGTCATGGCATCCATGACTTAGCCTAGTTTTCCCTAAGTGTAGCGCCACCTCACTAATGGCAGACTCCTTTAAGACCAGACGAAGCAGTATCTGAAAACGGGGATGAACGAGGCGGGTAACCAGGTCCCGCTCGCCACCCGCCAGGGCCATGTTCGGGCATCCCATTCAGCACTGCCAGCTCCCGAAGCTGTGCCCGCTTTAGCAGGTCGTAAGAGTCATCCTGAAGTGGGGGACGAAAAGTTTGACGACTAGCCAGATTTGTAACTTCAATCGGCGACAAGGGAAATTCGACGCATGGAAGGTTCGGATTTGCCTAACAGGAAGGCTTGCGAAAGGACAACAATTCGCCCTTCGCCGCATAAGGCGCGAAGGAACCAGATCCAGCTTGCCAACTGCACCACGGAAACTAGATCCATCCTCCTTGCATTACCAGACATATATTTTCAGCGGAACTCCCATGTCGAGAAAAATGGCTCTGATTACTAACATAGCTCCATGGTTCTTCTGATATTACGTACCACGGGTTTCAGCAGCTCGTGCACAATTTCGCACGCCTCCCCCAGTTGCATGTCCACGATATCGGCCGGTAATTCCGCAACGACGACCACGTGGAGGGGGTCGAAGAGGTGCTCGTAACCAGGCCTGCCGCGTAGGCGCTCTTCCTGTCGTGTGTTGCAGGGAGGCGACGCAAAACAGGAGAATTAATCAGCACGGCCACGCGAATAAATACGTCTGGGCGCAAGGCTACGTACCAGAGAGCCGAAGGCTATAAGCTCAACGGGGAACCATTTTCACAAAGTTGATTAGATTCCTCCGTCACATTCGCAGTCACATCCCCAGCCCATCCCCGTCTCCATTTCCCTCCCTCGGGATCCAGCTAACGCTCTCCCCCTTCTCCCGCAACGCGGCCTTTACTCAGCTCTCCCCCGTCCCCTTCCCCTTCCTCCCCACGTACCCTGTGCTCCTCCTTCATCAATCCTCTCCCTCGGACGAAACATCTAGGCAACTCATCGTCTCTCCGCATGTGCAACCTGCGTACGCGTCTGACCCATCTCAAAGATTCTTCCTCTGCCCCAGTATATGTACCCTGCACGGGCTTCTGGTGCATATAAAAAACCATCTAGTCTCCCAGCTATACGTACCCTGCACGGATCCTTGATCGATCCGCGTCCGCGGATCAGCACGCGGCAGCCCGTTTGCGCCTCCACGCGCTTCAGGGAGTTTCCGCGCGGCCCCAGCAGGCGCCCCACGAAGTTGTACGCGGGGAAGCGCTCCACGGGGACGTTCACGCGCTGCATCTTCTTCACTATCGGCGCAACTCCGCCTCCCCCTCCCATTCCGCCCCCCATTCCGCCCCCCATTCCGCCTCCCATTCCGCCTCCCATTCCTCCCCCCATCCCGCCCCCCATTCCGCCCCCCATTCCGCCCCCCATTCCGCCTCCCATTCCGCTCCCTGTTCTGCCTGCGCCTCCCGCCCCCATTCCCCCTGCGCCTCCCCCGGGTGCTGGCGGAGAGGCCCAGCTGGGGAGCGGCGCAAGGGACTGAGTGATTGGCGGGGGCGGCGGGAGCATCACCAGTGGGGAAAACGAGGGCTGTAAGGGGGATGAGAAGGGGGAAATAGGGAGTGGGAGACCGGGCAAGGTTTGTGGCTTGACAAAGTAAGAGGCGCCTTTCCCAAATACTCATTCGAAGGTGCTGATTACAAGATGCTATCTCAAAGCGGTGGGTGTAGTTAAGGTTGTGCTGGTAATCCGGATGCTCGTTTCGCGTACCTCAATCTCGTTAGGGAGTGGCGACCAGGTGCCCCCATCGAAAGGCGAGGGACCAGGCGAAAGCCCGTTCTGCGACTTTGGCGAAGTGAGTTGGTCGGGTAACAGCTGCTCAGGGTTTGATATGCTGTCGTTGTCCGTGGCGGACGAGGAACAGTTGAGTGAAGTCAGCCGCGCAATCTCTGTAATAAAACAACACAATCTTAAACAATGAATCACTTGAGACAAAACAAAAATATAACTCAAGCGTACCTTCCTCCAACCAGGAATCCAGACTATTTCAGCAATGCTGAATCGCATTCTGCCCCTGCGTACCTTCCTCCAAGAGACGGGAGCAGTGCGGTAGAACGAGCTTGAACGGAGTAAGTTTCTTTCGTTCTGCGATTAGATCCGCCAAATAGCTGACGTAGACGGAGATGGTGGGAACCCAAACGCGGCTGGGGGAAGAGGGAGAGTCAGACGCAACGAAAATATACACGCTTGATTCGCCATAATTGTAAGAGAAAACTCTTTCAAATGCAAGTCTGGGCTTGGATTTCCTCTATGCGGTGGATAATGTAAACTCGAGTTGGGCTCACAAATCGCCATCGCTGGTGGAAGACGAGAGTCGTGCTAGTCCCGGGGACGACGGCGAAGTAAGAATTTGGCAGAATGTAAGAGAAAACACTTCCAATGCACAATAAGGAAACTCCAGTTGGGCTTACAATTCGCCATCGCTGGTGGAAGACGAGAGTCTTGCTAGTCCCGGAGACGACGGCGAGGAGCCGAGGTTCGGCGTGAACCAGCCGTTCATCCTGAGGATGAGGATGATGATTCAGGCGTGAATCAGGCTGATTCGCTCGTGTCGCGTCGCGCGGGGCCGTAACAAACGTGACAACGCTCGTTACAAAGAAACAGCAGTGGACACGTGAGTTCAAACTATCGACCGGAAAGCAGCCTGATGGAAATTCTTGGGAAATGCCGTAGCTTTGCAACGACGCGAGGCTTCAGAGGACGCTACTTGAGGGGCTGGTGCGGTCAGAAGCGCAGCAAACTGATACTAATCTTGCTACTTCTCAGTAGTAATGGCCTGTCGGTGAGGTGTAATGTCAGAAGTTACCCAATCTAGAACTAGTGTCGTCTAGCAGAAGAGGACTGATGATGATGTCTAGGAATTAGCCCCTAGGGAAAGCTTGCCAGTTTTCAAACGCCGTCAAGCCACAAGCAGGGAGAATCGATTGATGTATGTCGAAAATGGATTGCGACGTTTATGTAGGGCGGTGGGTGGATTTGCGACGATAAACGGCATCATGTGGTCGTCGCAGAGAGGCCCGATTCGAGTGAGACTCCTTACGCGACAGTGTGCGACAGCTTGAGCAGTTATCGCAGGGGCCACTCTGCGACGAGTGCTCATGTTGTGAGGGTCTACGGGAGCTCTATCGTGCTTTCAAATGTATGCCACCGCCGGGTCGCGTCGACGAATCCTGGGGTAGAGACTGGATTCGCAGTCATGGGAAGCTTACTCGCGTCGCAACTAGCTCCGACGCGAGTGCACGCAACTACTCATGCCGGAGTTCCCTAGGCCCGCAGTCGCTGCAAATGCCCTGAGGCGTCCTGACGATGCTCCCAAGGTCGAGATTATGAGGTGGTCGTGGAATTCAAAGGACGACCACTTTGGGGAATTCCGAGGAAGCGTGCGAGAGTAATCGTCATGCATGGCAGAACTACACACATGTGACAAACGCGCTTTGGGGGTTTCCTATGGGTATGAGTCGTCAAGCTGTCCATGGGTGCATCAGCAGTAGTGGTGAGCGAATGGGGATTGCTTGTTAGGAGGGCCGCATGGTGGATGGTGGTCTAGCCTCATGTGTACAAGATTCGCCCCGAATTCGCCCCTCGAATGTGTTTTGAACATACTCCTCTCACTCGCGTTCTCATCCCCGTCGAGTCGCTTTCGTCTTCTCAGCCCCACATGACAGACGAGTCGCGGAGAGCGAACCGTGTCGCAGATTTCCGCCATGTCATACCGCGTCAACTTCGCTCTCTCCCAAACCCCTTCTTTCGCAAATGCGATTTGCGGCCTGCCAAGTTCGGGCAGATTCTGACGAGGGGAGGGGGATGAAGGAAGAAAGCGGCAAAGCTTTCCCGCTTGCGGGGTGAAGGAAGATTTCAAGCCGCAGAAAGATTCAAGGGGAACGGAAATCCTGTGAACTCATCAAAGTTTTCATTTCGGATTTGTGGCCAGCAATACCTTGTCATGATTTGGCTGCGGCAAACCAGGGAATTTTGTCCAGGATAGGGTCAGAATGAATAACTTTCCTGGTTTGGGGGCAGAAAGGGCACGTGCACAAGATTTTTGGCAGGAAGTGGATAAATAATCTGCAAGGACTTCATCGCTGGCTAGGATAAGCACAAAACAATCCACTCTGAAATGCAGAGATATATAGATCTAGTTATGTGTAGGCAGGAAAATCAAGGCAGAATACCAGCTATGAAGTGTTTGGTGGCATACGGCAGCGCTGAGACGGGTCTCACACAAACTGAGAGGGAGAGAGAGAAAAATGCTCATGTTGTAATGTAATCCATCAAATCGACGTATAGTAATCAAACGTTACACAATATCCGACTTCTTTTCCCTGTTCTTGCACCAACCATCAAGGCTGTCACTTATTCCTCCTGGACCTGCTCCCAGTCCTAATTGTCACAACCATTTGAGCTTCCAGCTGCCTAGGCAGGTTCCTTCACAAGCGGCACAGGGAGTGGAGAAACATAAAAGTCCATGGCATAACCATACATCGCTCCCAGGTGGGCTTGAACCACCGACCTTATAGTTAACAGCCATACGCTCTAACCAACTGAGCTACGAGAACTGTGATTCAGGTTTTACAAAAAGTATAACAAAGATTTCCAAGCAGTGTGCAAACTATTTGCATGCCTCTCTTTCCAAACATACCATACATTAAACAGGTCTACCGTTCCAGCTACGGTACAACCAGCATACGGTAGACGTCACACACAAAAATCTTGTCCCAACTCGAAGGGCAATACCATTTCTATCTAGGTAACCACACATACACCATACCATACATGCGCAATACTCAAGCACATGCAACAGCCAAGATCAACACCGGAGCATAGCACAGACTGCACCAGGTGTCTCATACGGCAGGTCCGGCAGCCGCCGCCAAACCAAACCTCCCCGAGCCTCGGCCTCAGGTTCGTACATGAGAGCCAGGGCACCGAACCTATACCCCACCATACTCACCGCACCTACCGCCACTCCAGCCACCCCTCGGCCCCTTCCTCCTCTCCCTCCTCCCCTCCCACCTCTCCCCCCCACTCCCCCTCTCCCTCCTGCAACATTCCCTCTCCCTCCCCTGTCTCCTACCCCTCTCCCACCACCTCTCCCTCCCCTTCCTCCTCTTGCTCCTCTTCCTCTCCCCCTTTCCCTCGGACCTTCATGCAGCAACTCCCGTGTAGGCTCAGGCTCAGGTGTCGGCTCAGGTGTATGCTCGGGATCAGCTGCAGGCTCAGGTGTAGGCTCAGGTTCAGGCTCATGTGCGGTCTCAGGTGCAGTCTCAGGTGCTATTGGCTCATTGGCGGTGTTACCTCCTGCTACCTCTCCTGCCTCCTCTCCTGTCTCCTCGCCTGCTGCCTCTTCTGTTGCTCCACCTAGTGCTCCTTCTCCTGCCTCCCCGGCTGCTCCTTCTGCCGCCCCTCCTGCGGCTCCTCCTGTTGCCTCCTCTGTCCCATCGCCTGTTACCTCTTCTGCTTCTTCTGCTGCTACCTCTCTTGTCGTTTCCTCTGCCGCCCCTCCGGCCTCTCTCCCCCCGCCCTCTCCTGCCGCCACTCCTGCTGCATCTCCTGCCTCTGCCGCCCCTCTTTCGCCTCTTCTTACCCCACCCCTCGCCCCCTCTCCCCCACCTCTCCCTCCCTCCCCTCCCCTTCTCCCCTCACGCCCACTAGCCGCGAACGAAGCGATTCCCATGTCTTCACACGTGCCGCGCACCTGCACTACCAGCACCCTGGTTCGCGTGGCAACGCACCTAAACGACACTTTGCTAAGTATCATGGGGTCAGAGGGGGGAACGTAGGGCATGCTGTGCATGTCCTTCCATTCGTTGCTGCGGGTGTCGTACCGCACAAAAGAAATCTGTCCAGATTCGACGCACCTGCGCAAAAACCGAGGAGGCAGGGGAGGGAAGCCACATTTGGCTGAATGCATGAACGCGGAGGGGGGGGACGTACGGCATGCTGTGCATGTCCTTCCATTCGTTGCTGCGGGTGTCGTACCGCACGAATGAAATCTGTCCAGATTCGATGCACCTGCGCAAAAACCAGGGGGGAAAAAACTCATTTGGTCGAATCCATGAAGGGGAAGAAGGGGGGGAAGGGGGGGGGGGGGGACGTATGGCATGCTGTGCATGTCCTTCCACTCGTTGCCGCGGGTGTCGTACCGAACAAATGAAATCTGTCCGGATTCAATGCACCTGTGCAAAAACGAGGGCACAAACGAGGGCGCCATGCCACGTTTGGCCGAATATATAGCATAGGTCTGTCTGTTAGTTTGAAGCTTTGTTTGGGCAATTTGTTTGTTCATCAGTGCGTGAATAAGGACTTGGCAATGGGAGGAGCAAGGGATGCGTGTGGGAATGGGTTTGCAATGAGAAAGAGGGAACTGGTGTATGAAACGCGAGCGGAAATGCCGGCAGGTGAATTATATGTAGAATCAGATGTGGACAAGGGGAAGATGGAAAGACATGTGCCAGAAAGAGTAGACGGAGATTGAAGTGATGTAAAGAGCCAGACGGGAAACCATAAGCAATTAAATAGGACAGTAACACGAGGCCAAGAGGAAAGACATACCTGAGAATGAAAATGTAGCGACCAAGGACTGCCGAGCCTAGCACGACTCCCAGCTTCGGAATCGGCTCCCAGACCTCCCAGGTTCGGGACCTGGGGTGGAAAACCTCCAAGCTCAGCGCCTCAGATCCGGCCCTGAACTGCTGACTGCTCCGGGTTCCACCAATCACGTGCAATCTCCCCCCCACACACCCCCCTACCGCCCCCACGCGCACCCTGTTCATTTCCGGGGCTAATTCCCAATAACCCCCTCTTTTTCTGCGCCTTCTCCTCTCCCACTCCCCTACGTCTTCTCTTGCCTCTGCTTCCGCCTCTGCCTCTCCTTTTCCCCCCACGTTCCCCCCCTCCTCTTCTATCATTCGCCCTTGCCCTTCCGGAATAAAAACTTCAGCTGCCCGGAGGTCCTTCTTCTCTTCGCCCTCCTCCAATGGTTGCTGCCGAACGCCGCCCGCGACAAAAACTTTCCCCTTCCACTGCCCGCAAACGAACTTGAACCGGGGGATTTGCAGTGGCGGAGCAGAGGAGAGGGAGTTCGTCCACGCGTCATACACAAAAGGGGGGCGGCCTTTAGCGAGTATGCCTCCGAACAGGAAAATCCGATTCGATACAGCACAGCAATGGGAAAAATCGTCTATAGCTAACGATTCGTTCGGAAACACAACCCAGGACCAGGAATTTAGCTTCGGATTGTATGTCTGAATTAGCACCTTAGACTGCGCGGTCTGCCCCTTACTAATCACCACTAAGTGATTTTCCATCTGCCCTAAAGCCTCCCGGTATTCGCGGAACGTGTCCGTGCGAATGATTCCGCGCCACGTGCGGCACACGTGCTGCATCGGGCCTAAAGCGCGCCGATCCGCCCGCGCCAGGCACTCCAAGAGCAGATCGTCCGTCAGATACGCGATCGGCGCGCTCCCAGCCGTTGGATCGTCCAGGGACGCGTATCCGCCGTTCATTTGCGGGGGAATGTCGGAAGGAAGAGGGGGGAGCTCGATCTCGTAAGCGGAAGAGGAGGAGCCGGATGCGCCGAATGGCCGCCGGAAAACGCGGCGGAAAATCCGGGTCAGATTGTTTCCTCCGGAGTTTGATTGAGCGGCCGCGGTTGAGGACGGCGAAGCCGCTGACGTGGCACCGGAGGAAGCAGCGGCCACGGGTTCCCCCTCCCGATCTTTACCTCCGCCGAAGCGCACCTGACTAAGCCGCCTGACGTGTGTCGTAACGCGTCTCGCAACAGCAGACGAATACGAAAAGAACTTAGCTTTCCCTCCGCTAGTAGCAGCAGCCCCGCTATAAGCAGCCGCGCTGTCTCGTTTAGCGTTCGGTCCATTTATAAGCTCATTCGCAAGATCATCCAATTCCTCCTCTTCCATCTCCTCCTCCGATGACGAAAATCCGTCCATGGTTTCGCGTTGACCGCGTTGACTGCCGCGTTGACTGCTGCGTTGACTGCCGAACCGCCCGCTTAGACGGCTGCTGCTGCTGCTGCCGCTGCTAAGACTGATGCACGACGGGGCTCTGCCGCTGCTTCTGCCACTGACCCGGGAGTCCCGGGAAACCCGGGAATCAGCAGGGGGCACGGCGAAGGAGAGCAGGGACGACGGGAGGATGCGGAAGCTCCCCCCTCCGCCGCCGCTTCCGCCTCCGCTGGTCGTGCTTTCCTCCGCCAGCAGTGCTTTCCGCCGTTGCCGTTACTTGCGCCCTGCGTTCCGCTGTGTATATACTGCAGATACCGCTTTACCTTTAGTTGACAACAGAATGCCAGGTCACTGTAATGGTAACTAAAACCGCGCCCACACCACGCCTCTGTCGTCTACCTTGCCGTCAAGAAACGACGCATTACCTATCCTGTCGATAAAAATGTTGCTCTATTTTAACAAGGTCAACAGTAAGGACCAACTATACTACTTCATACTGAATGCCTCCTGCTCTGGTTGCTAGGACTGTCGTTTTTTCATACTCGAAACTATGGCTTCGGTTTATTTATTCCCTAGACCACCAATCCCACACTCTCTGATTCTGGGAACACCGAGCTGAATGACAGCACCCTTTTGGTCGTTTGGCGAGCGTCGTTACTTTCGTTACCGCCTTCGCACAAATGTGCTGCTCCATGTGCATCACGTTTCGCGTGCACCAGCAGTGAGTTCCAGCGACGTGCCCTGAGGGCTGTAACGTTTCGCAAAGGAGTGAAATGTAACTCGTCAATCTCGCCAAACTCAACAACTGACCTCTGGTCGCCACGACCTCCACCACTTGCCACCACACGACCACACGAATTTCTCGCATCGATATGAGAGCCTCGAAACTCTCAAAACGTCTTGACCGAGTTTCAAATCACTGTAGATGACAAAGTTAGACAGAGCTTCATCTTAGACATATGATCCTCTTGATATTTTGGCAATATCGTTCCACATCTTCATAAGCCCGTCAAAACTTGGTTCTTCTCTAACCTGCTCAGAAATCACAGGATTAGCCCATTCAACTTGTGCTGCCTCGGGGGCAGCAACTCTATGCAAACCCAGCCTTTCAACAGCAAAATCGCACACCAACTCATTTGACTCGCAAGCACTCATCCCACCTTGAAGCATGTCAGACATTTTTCCTCCACGATCAACATCTGTCTTCCTCGCCTGTGATCCAGCCTTCCTAGTGACATTCCGCTTCTTGGCTGCTCCTGAAACAGCAGTCTCCTTGCCAGAAGTCAAATGTTTTTGCAACACCTTCAAGGCTTTGGGTTCCCCTTGTCTCTCAATATCAGAACCTCTCCTTTTTCTTCCAGCATAGACCCCCTCCACATCAACCCCACCCATATCAGGCGTCACAGCTTCACCCAGCTCCCTTGGAGAAATCAACGGCTCCCTCTGTACTTGCATATTCACCTTCGCCTTCCCATTTTTCAACCTCCCCTGCCTGTCACTTCCCTTGTTGTGCGTCCTACCATCTGACTTGTGTGCGTAGGCATCAAAGCAAACCCCGCCGGCTGCTGCTTCTTGCCCAGCTCCCACATAATCCCCACACACCGCTCTTGTATTCCCTCCCACCCTAGAATCTAAGGCCCCACTCTCACCTACTCCTGCTCTTCCTGCTCCTCCTACTCCTCCTCCTCTCATCCCCTGTGAACCGTGTGCACCAGCAGCACCCCCCCCTTTCATCTCATTGTGTGCAACAGCATCTCTCTCCTCTGCCTTATCACCTGCCACGTCTGCCACGTCATCTGCCACATCAGCATCCACGTCCTCCCCAAGCCTCACTTCCTTTCCCACTGCCCTCCGCACCTCATCCAGACTGATGCGTTTGCTTCCCAAACGTCCCTTGTCTCCACCATCCTCCCTCCCTTCACTGTCCTCCCCTTTCTCACCATCCTCCTGCCCTGTTAAATCAACCACATCAACGTGAGGCTCTCCCACCCCGCCTTCCTCCTCTAACCCCACTTCTACCTGCTTATCATGCCTCAGCTGCTCCCTGTGCCCCCTGTTCCCTCCTCCCTCTTTAACGACTCCTCTGCTGCCAGCATGCGTGTTTACATGGGCCTTTACACGAGTCTTAACTTGAGATTCAACAAGGGTTTTGCCCTCGTAACCACCACCTCCACCACATCCCACTCCTCCGATTCCCCTCTCACCTTCTCCCTCACCATACCCCTCACCAGAAACTGGGACCGGGGATGCAAAATCCCTACTGAATCTCCCAGCTGCGTCTCCAACCCTTGCCACATTGTGCGACGAAGCTGGGGAGTGTGAGGAGCGAGGCGAGCGCAAGCTTGTCATGACTGGTGCTTGAGGGACCTCGGAAATAAGGGGGCGCGGTGAGCACCCAGCTCTCACAACTGGCCGAAAGAGCCGCCGCAATGCATCCATCTCCGCATCCTCGTTCACCACACTTACTCCTGTTGGGGCATCAACAGGTGGTCGCGTGCCTGCGAGGGCTTTTAAACGCGGACACGTGTCTGTCAAATCGTCCACACTTGGACGCGTGCCTACCGCTGTAGAATTGCGTACTGTCACCACGACCTTCTCTCCTTCTGCACCCCTGGTACTTTTTTCTGCACCATTGCTCTCTCCTGCCACTGCACTGCTATCCCTTGCTACACCAATGCTCCCTCCAACAGTGCAAGACTTCCTCTCTAGCCTCACTTCATCTCGCCCTCCCAAACCTTCACCTGCTCTTGTTTCTTCTCGCCCTCTTACACCTCTTGACTTTCTTGACTCGATTGACTCTCGTGACTCTCCACCTCCTCTCAGCCTGTCACCCCTTCTCGAGCCACCACCCCCCTCCACTCGCTTAAAGTTGTCGAAAAGAGTCAACCCTTTTCTAGGGAGGGAGGAAGCAGCAGAAGGGGGTTTGTGACATTCTGCTGCTTTCCCCATCCCTTTCCCCCTCGCTTCCTCCCTCCCTTCGTCGGCTGCCTCTCTCCTTTCTTCCACCTCCATCTGCCCCTCTTGCCCCACTTCTTCCCTCTTACACCTTCCCCTCTTGATCCCAGCGTCAGCTACCATGCTTGTCTCTCGCTCTCCCTGCGTTTTCCTGGCTTCCATGGACCTCCTTCCTGTCCTTTGCTCCTGCTTCCCTGCCTCCCCGACCCTCTCACCCTCCTCCACCACTCTCCTTCTCTTCCTCCCTTTCACACCCCCTTTACCCGCACCCAAACCACCACCCCCCTTCTTATCACCCCGCTTCTTCCCACCACCTTTCTTCCCACTCCCTTCCCCTCCTTCTCCCCCTTCCTCCCCCACTTCCTCTCCTCTCTTCTTAGCCTCCAATACAGCCAAAGCAGCCCTCGCTCTCCGCCTCTCCTCAGCCCACTTGCGTTTTTGGCAGTTAGTGTGCGACAGGTGGCACGCCACACAGAGCGTGCGCAGATTCTCCACTCCGCACTCGCCGCCCCCCTCTGCCACGGCCACTTTATGGTCCGCATGCCATGCGTTGCCTTCCGTGGGAAGGTCTACCAGTCGCTGCAGCCTGGGGAGTGGGGAGAGGGGTGGGGGAGGGGAGTGGGGGAATGTCAGGGGCACGGGGAAAGGAATGGAAGGGAGATAGGGGATTCTCCACTCCGCACTCGCCACCCCCTTCCGCCACGGCGACTTTATGGTCCGCATGCCACGCGTTGCCCTCCGTGGGAACGTCAATTGAACGTTGCAGCCTGGGGAGTGGGGAGGGTTTTCAGGGCAGTGGGCAAACGGACGGGAGGGAAGTGAGGAGAGGGGAAAAGGATGGGAGGGAAATGGGAAAGGATAACTTGGAGCACAGCACAGCAGAGCACAGAACTGCACTGCACCGCACTGTACCGCACTCACAGCTTGGGGTACTTGGCGAAGTGGGGCACCCAGTGCAGGATCACTCGGCAACAGTCAGCAGGGGGCAGCACCCTGATGGCTGAGACCAGAGCGCAGCACAGCACAGTACCGTACTGCACCACACAGCAGAGCGCAGCACCACACAGCACCGCACTGCACCACTCAGAATCGCACCGCACTCACAGCTTGGGGTACTTGGCAAAGTGCGGCGCCCAGTGCAGGATCACCCGACGGCGATCAGCAGGAGGCAGAACCCTGATGGCCGAGACGAGAGCGTGGCACGGCACAGCACAGGAGAGCACAGCACCGCACAGCACAGCACAGCACTGCATTGCATTGCATTGCAATGTACCACACTGTACCGGACAGCAGCACTCACAGCTTGGGGTACTTGGCGAAGTGTGGCGCCCAGTGCAGGATCACCCGACGGCGATCAGCAGGAGGCAGAACCCTGATGGCCGAGACGAGAGCGTGGCACGGCACAGCACAGGAGAGCACAGCACCGCACAGCACCGCACAGCACAGCACAGCACTGCATTGCATTGCATTGCAATGTACCACACTGTACCGGACAGCAGCACTCACAGCTTGGGGTACTTGGCGAAGTGTGGCGCCCAGTGCAGGATCACCCGACGGCGATCAGCAGGAGGCAGAACCCTGATGGCCGAGACGAGAGCGTGGCACGGCACAGCACAGGAGAGCACAGCACCGCACAGCACAGCACAGCACTGCATTGCATTGCATTGCAATGTACCACACTGTACCGGACAGCAGCACTCACAGCTTGGGGTACTTGGCGAAGTGTGGCGCCCAGTGCAGGATCACCCGACGGCGATCAGCAGGAGGCAGAACCCTGATGGCCGAGACGAGAGCATGGCGCAGCACTGCACAGCATCGCACGCCATCGCACAGCACTGTAGAAGACTGCATTGCACCGCACAGAACCACTGCACTCACAGCTTGGGGTACTTGGCAAAGTGGGGCGCCCAGTGCAGGATCACCCGACGGCGATCAGCAGGAGGCAGAACCCTGATGGCCGAGATGAGAGCGTGGCAGTCCAGATTGCACGTCACACACACGCCTCGCTCCAGTGAAAACAACTCCTGAGG